GAATATATCAATATTTGATGAAATAACAATAATATCCAATATATGCAATTTTTGTTGTCTGTGTGCCCATGACCCTATATATAGGATGAAAGTTCAAAGTTCAATTTCTCGAAATTTATAATTGATAACTTTTTTTCTAAAAAAAAATTTGCACAGATTTCTCATTCAAGATTCGAAAAAAGGATTGTAAACCAAATGACAGTTTTGATTGGATCCATTTGAAAATAACTGTGTTAACAATCTAAACCAAGCACTCCCTATTACACAAAGTCACTGCCCGAGCGCGGTCGGAATTTTCGGATTCTGGTCGTTGCGAGGGCGGTTTACGGGCCAGTTGTCTAATTGGATATGACGTCTGACTACGAATTAAAATATGTTAAATATTTTGTTATTAAAATAATGTAGGAAATCAGGAGGTTGCAGGTTCGAGTCCTGTCTGGCTCGTTTTTGGTTGATTTTTGTCGATTCTGGATTTCCTGTCTGGTTCGTGGGGATTTTTTTTCATCAATTTTTTACAAATTGATGTGCACACCATCTGGTGACCGTAAACAAAGTGTGATGTAAACAAAGAATGGAAATTTTATTCGATCAACCTTTTGGGGCAATCATTTGCGTTTTTTATTTTTTTTTCACATTATTGCTCGATTAACTTTTTGATTTTGTTCGAATCCTGTCTGGCTCGATTCAGTCAAATATTCGAACAACTGTAGTGCTTCAGAATGGGCACGAAGCACATTGGCTGAAAGATATCTGCACTTTGTCCAGTTATTGGCTTTAGCAATTCGATCAAATTCATTCAAGTAGCTCTCTTGATTTTATCGTCTTTTTCCATTCGACTAGGGCCAGGTGTGTCGAATTATCTTGAATTCGACCGGACAGGAATATCTTGTGCTTGGATTCATTCGAACGTCGAGAACCATCTAGAATTTAGACTCTAATTGGATGTTCTAACCTTGGTTTTTTTTCCTGTTGGACTTTAGTCATCGACATGTGAATCAGTAAACTCTGACCATGACATGAATGGCACATGGTAAAGCAGATATAAAACATGTTGGTCAATTGTAATCATAATCATTTTCCTATTATTATTATTTTCATCCTCAATAAATTATGTTTATTATTATCATATCAATTGTGATTGTTTCGGATCGGTTTTTCATCAAATAAACAACATTTACATTTGTTGGAAACTTGAAAATTATTTACTAAAATTAGTCAATTCTTTTGATCAAATGAGACCAAAAGAATTTATGGAAAAAAATCGTAAATAATTTTGTAACACAATAAAAAATGACTTTGTTTTTTTTATTCATGGTCAATGACAATAAATATGGTAGCAAGTTGAATTGAATTGTTCAATCCATATTATAGCGTCGTTGTTATAGGGTCGAAATCAAAATTAACGTCAAATGCTGCAATAAACGAAAATTAATTCACGAGTTATGAACAATAATTTACAATTTTATGCATCGATCATTGTAATTTTCATTTGACTCAAGTCGCTCTGTCCAGAATATCATTTCTCCTTTGTCTGTTGGGTTGACATCGATCAGGATTTGTTTTCATTTTGATTCGATAGTAATTCTGGATCCATCCATTCTATGGTTTAAGAAACTCACAAAATTGGAAAAACAATAACAGATTTGTAAAAATCGATCATCAAACCTGCTCACACGACGGATATTTGGACTAATCATAAAGAACGTTAGGTTTGATTATATTTTCAAGAATTAACCTCGTGATTCCGAATTGGAAATGATTTTAAAAAAATGAATGAAGTAGATATGTTTTTTGCTTTGATACATTTGAATATTATGGTAATCATGAATCAAAAACATTGTACGAATTGTTTGTAGTGGAACCAATATCAATTCAAGTTTTTTGTAAGGTTTAAAAAACTGAGAATATTTTAATTTATTTGGAAGGTAATTCTTTAAATTCTTTGGTCAGATATTTAAATTGTTGTCAGAATTTTTTTTGATTTAAAAAAAAAATTTCAGATCATTTGATTTTTTCTGAAAATCAATTGAAATTGAATCAAAATTTAATTTTTTAAAACAAAAATTGTCATATAATTTTTCAAGTAAAATCAAACTCCAATTGTTGAGAAAAGTTTAAAAAAATTCTTAAAAAATGTTTACATCAACCATACATCGAACTTTGATTTTTTTCTTGTTGGACAAATCAACAATTTTCGTCAATTGAAATTGTGAATTGATTAATCGAAAAATTTGATAACTAAAAAATCCAGCTATACAGCATGATTGTTGGAATATTCAATTTATTTCAAAACTGTGGCAATTAAATTATTTCATGACTTTCGGCCCTGGCCATAAAAATCTATAATTGTTGAGAATTTAGCAAGTGGCTTGGAAGTATAAGATTCAATAGTTAGCAGTTGATGAATGTGTGTTTAATCATAATAAATAACTGGTTAACAAACTCATATATATACAATATTTACACCATTGATCGTACTAATTAAATACACTCAACAGTTACATTATACAACTAATTCAATATTTCTTTTAACAATTCCAACAATAATACAACTGGTTGAAAAAGTTTGACAATTTTGTTCATCAAAATTTGACTGAATTATTTACTAAAATTAGTCAATTCTTTTGATCAAAATTAACGCCAAATGCTGCAATAAACGAAAATTAATTCATGAGGTGAAGCTCACTTTGAGCTAATCATATATATTTTATAATATTAATAATAATAATAATTTTATTTGAAACGAAATAAATGGCACGAAGTCCGAAGACTCTTGTACCGATGAGGAAAAAGAAGAATATTTACAAAAAGAAAGAATTAGTGTTGTGTCCTGTGTTTTATTCTAGTTAGTATGTGTTTACATATGTGTAAATGCTATGTAGTTTTGTATTGTGTCTATGTATTGGTGTGGTGTTCTTGTGGTGAAAAATTTGGAGATATTATATAATATTGAAACATGGTTTCATATTTTATTTGTGCTCCCTTTTTTTATTTTTTAAAAAAATTGGGCCGATCCTGGAGGTGAGTGCAATTCCAGGCCAACCCGTGGCAAAGGTTGAGCACAGCTCAGACGCTTCGCCCACCTGCAAAAATTGGTTCAATATCTTGACCATTAATAATGGTCGTATCAGATATTAAGCTGATAAGAACAGATACTACACTTTTGATCTTAGCCAAAATTTTCGGCCGAGAAGCGATAAGGAGATAAGCAGTTTCATTTTATTTACGGAAACAAAGACTTCCGGTTCCTTACAGTTTTGTATTGGGTTTTATCTTGTTTGACAAGGATCGCACAACATTTAGTGTATAAACAACGTGTTTTTTTGACACACCTAATAAAAATGAAAATTGAATGATGATTTATTTTTCGCTAAAATCAATGGAAAAACACCCATTTTTGAAGAATTTAACGCTAGTACTCATAAACCGTTGAATCATATTATGTATAAATTATTTCAGCAGTAAAAATTTCATTTGTAAAAATTTCATTTGAAAAAACACCAAAAATCAACATAAAGATTCATTTGATCTGATAAGGGGTGTGTCATTTTTTTTACATCGCAAATAAACCGGTAGTGACATCTATACGATGATGAGGAAGTTAAACAATCACACATGAAGAAAATTTACCATGAACTTTATTGATTGAGCACGACTTTTGCACAATTGGTGATTCAGAAATATTTTGATTCAACACTATTTTTGGAATAAAACGCAAAATAAATGAATAAAAATCATTATTATTGTTATCCATAATCGAATGATTTACCTATAATTTCATTAGTTGTACTTGATGCTTGTGGGTCCAGTGAATCGAGTATTTTTAAATTATTTATACGCTTGACGCCAATTCCTCTTTGAAAAATTGGGAGAAATTTCATCTTGATCAAGAAAATATGTTCCAATAATTTTACGAGTGAAAAATTTTATTAAGCATCAAAATTCATTTGTATATCTAATAAACGCAAAAAAAACACCAAAAAAAAATCGAAACATTTGAAATCCAAAACATGATTGTTTTGGAATGTTAATGATCAAAGTTTGAATATTTTAAATGGAATGTTTGACTTTGATTTAATGAATGTTATATATAACCTAATTAATGTATCTAATTGATTGTAATTTTCAATAGTGTTCGATTTCCAATCATGGCTGCAAACAAATTATTATCGTTACGATTATAACGATGATGTCGAGATCATCGTAATTTATTTATTACATATGTATAAAGTTTTAGAATTCGATTAGAAACATAAATTAAAAATTGAACAAAAAGTATTAAATTAAAATTAAAGGTAAATATTCAATGAGATGGGTGGAGAATGTTTGACACTGCTGGACGTAAGACCACTTTTTTAGCGATCAACGATATATTGGGATTTAATATGTGTTAAAGCTGAGAAAGTAACTTCACATAAACATGTGGTGTTGAATGGCAGAAGAACATTTAACGCCATATCAGCGATTGTTCTGAAATTCAGTCAAGGACAATTGAAATGAATTAGACGATTCAATCTATTGTGGAATCCTTCCACGTGGTTGGTTGTGATCGGGTCTGCAAATAATTAATCTAATTGTATCCACCACATATGTATTTGCATCGCACATTGTTGCTGTAATTTCACAGATTAATAATAGATCTTCATCCATAGTCGATGACCGACTAGTCTTTTTCATTTTTTTGATTATAATTTAAACTTTGGCAATTGAGAAAACCATGATTGATGTTGTTGTTGATTACCAGTGGTAGATGGTGTTTCGATGAATCTTTTGTTGATTATTTCATCCTTTAAAGGATCATTATTTATTAATTGTTGTTTCTCTTTCCATCCAGATTCTTTGTCATCAGGTTCACTAATAATAATAATAAATGATGATATTATAGGTGTGTTACTTTTTCTTGTCTTTTCGGTTGGCAGCATTGTTTTTCGTGATCACGCCCTCATTATTAGTGGAATGGTCAAACCATATTGAAATATACAACAGCAAACAAAATCTTTATTTGACTCCAGTCGCTCCATCCAATTGTTCCTATAGGAACACTATATCCACTAAATAGACATCAGTCCACGATGAATCAATTTGATTTGAGCTAAACGTTATCTTTTGTACCGAGAAATACACTTCTAAATGATTGACAAATGAATAATTTGTAGCGTCATTCAATAATCAAATGGTTGGAATTTGCTTACCCATTCGAATTGGTGGAACTCTATAGTCAAAAAAGAAAATTTAGAATTTTATCTGAATTTTATTATTAACATCATTTTTCATACCATTCGGGCCTGCAAACAAATAATCTTTGTATCCACAATATTTGCATCGCACATTGTTGCTATAATTCCACAGATCAATAAGTTGATCACATTAGGAATGATTTTTTCATCAAGTGCTAATTTCCAATAACCGTTTGTGTACCAGTGGAAGATACAAAATTGGACAAAACTTTGCCAACCATCATAGACTTATCATCAGTCAGAATGCTTTTTCAATGAAAGAATTACAATAAATAGAGCACAAATTTACTCAATGTGAGCAGAAAATACATATAATGATGATGATTGTTATGATTCACAATGATTTTATTTAAGTTTAAGTTTAAGACGTTTGTGTTTCACCCATAAAGGACGTATCATGCAACACACCCTTCTGGATCAGGTCACTAAGTTCTTTATAGAGTTATATATAAAGTAATAGAGTTATATATAAAGTTATAGAGTTCTTTATAGAGTTGTTTAAGTCTATTGCATAAATCCATTCATCGGTACTACATGATTTTTAGTTGGCCAACGATTTAAAAGATAATTTGCACAATTAACAGATAGGTGCCAAAATTTGTCTGGTAATTTTGCATCTTTCCATAATGTTCGAGCACATTCCATCAAGGTTCGATTACGCCTCTCAATCTTTCCATTTTGTTGAAACGTATACGGGACGTAGTCGTTAAGAATGAACCAGCCTTCTGCCTGTGGATTTCGCGCACCATTAGATTCAGATCAGAAAAACCATTTGACTTGGCAAATCATATTCTAAGAAGGCTTCTCTCTTATATCATCTCTGATAAAGCCAAGAATCACACCAAAGTTTAATTTCGTCAAGCCAGAATTTAAAATTGGTACCATCAAATTTTATCATGTCCGAAATGGATAAGCATTGAATTGAGCAATTGAAGTTGTTCCATTTGCATTTTTCTTTGATTACGAGCTGAGCACATAAAACAGATATATGCAAAAATTTTCGTTTACAAGTCAATCAAATAAACACATTAAGCAAACACAAACAATTTTAATAAACACAAACGAATTGAGAGACAATCAAGGTAAACAATGATTTTATTTAAGCATGTGACTGTGTCTATATACAGAAGTTTGTGTTTCATCCATAAAGAACGTATGCTTAGACATTTTCATGCAACACGATTACATTGTTTGTGTGTGTTCAGTATGATTTGACAAAAAATCAGCTTTGTCATTCTTGGCTTTGTTTTGTTTATTTTTTTCTTGTGAGAACATTTTTAAATTTCATTTCATTTTCATTTTCCATCTTTTTTTTCTCATCGATTATTTTGTATTTTAAAATGGCTACCGATGTAAAAATGGAAGAAGTGCAAGATGTAAGTTTCAATGTGTTGAATTTTTTTCTTTAAAAATATATTTTTTTTTGCTTTCTCTCTTTCGAAGGATCTACCCGAAGAGATTAATCGTTGGTCCAAAGATGAAATTACAAGCCGTACAAGATTATTGGACAATGAAATAAAAATAATGAAAAGTGAATTGATGCGTGTAAATCATGAGCTAAATTCACAAAAGGAAAAAATTCGTGAAAATACTGAAAAAATTAAAGTGAATAAAACCTTGCCATATTTGGTATCGAATGTTATCGAATTATTAGATATTGATCCACAAGATTTAGGCGAAGAAGATGGTGCAAATGTTGATCTGGATGCACAACGTAAAGGTAAATCGGCTGTTATTAAAACATCAACACGACAAACCTATTTCTTACCGGTAATTGGTCTTGTCGATCCGGAAAAACTTAAACCAGGCGATCTAGTTGGTGTGAATAAAGATTCATATCTAATTCTGGAAACATTACCAGCTGAATATGATTCACGTGTAAAAGGCAATGGAAGTGGATGAACGTCCCACAGAACAATATAATGATATTGGTGGTCTAGAGAAACAGATTACCGAACTGATTGAAGCTGTTGTATTGCCAATGACACAGAAAGAAAAATTTGAAAAATTAGGAATAGCACCACCAAAAGGTGTATTATTATATGGTCCACCAGGTACAGGAAAAACATTGTTGGCTCGTGCATGTGCTGCACAAACAAAATCAACATTTTTAAAATTGGCCGGTCCACAACTTGTACAGATGTTTATTGGTGATGGAGCCAAATTAGTACGTGATGCATTTGCATTGGCCAAAGAAAAAGCACCGGCAATTATATTCATCGATGAATTGGATGCAATTGGTACGAAACGTTTTGATAGTGAAAAAGCCGGTGATCGTGAAGTACAACGTACAATGTTGGAATTATTAAATCAATTGGATGGATTCAGTTCAAGCACTGATATTAAAGTTATTGCCGCTACAAATCGTGTGGATATATTGGATCCAGCATTACTACGATCCGGACGTTTGGATCGTAAAATTGAATTCCCCACTCCAAATGAACAGGCACGTGCACGTATATTGGAAATTCATTCACGTCGTATGAATGTTGATTCTGGTGTAAATTTTGATGAATTATCTCGTTGTACTGATGATTTTAACGGTGCACAATGTAAAGCTGTATGCGTGGAAGCCGGTATGATTGCATTACGTCGTAATGCTACGATTATAAATCATGAAGATTTTATGGATGCTATCAACGAGGTGGCCGCTAAGAAAAAAGCTAATCTTAATTATTATGCTTAATACATTGATGGAGTTTGTAAATTTCATTTTTAATTTTTATTAAAAAAACACTAATAAAAACAAAATTTTTCAACTAAAAAATAAAAATTAACTTGATTTAGATTTTTGTTTTGCATAAATTTTCATGATAAAAAAATAAAATACAGGCCACAATGTTCGAATGATAACAAGAATTCGATGTATGAATGGTGCTAGTACAATTTCATGATCACCATTCAATAACATTTCTAAACTGATGGTAGCAACATATTCTGCGGTATAACCATTTGCTGTCGTTTCATCCATTTGTCCATATTTTGTACCATCAGAATTCATTGCATTCATCGATATATTTGTACGTATATAACCGGGTGCAAGAAGTGAAATATGAATTTTCGGTGCAATTAATGATAATTCCGATCGTAATGAATCATACCATGCACGTGATGCATGTTTTGATGATGAATATGAACTACGAAATGGTATGGCTAATCGATCTTGAATGGATGTTATGGCCAAAATTTGTCCATGGCCGTTTCGTTTGGATTCAGTCATCATTGATTTAATAATAATTTTTGTGAATGCAATGTGGCCAAGGAAATTTACCATCATCATTCGATGATCAACATCGACAACGGTTTGCAATGCTGGTGCTCGACTAGAAATACCGGCATTATTAATGAGAATATCTACATTAAATTTTTCGCATATTTTTTTCGCTACATTTTCCGATTGTTCGATTGAACTTAAATCTAACTGGATGATGTCCGGTTCAATTTTAGTACCGGTACCGGTACCGGTAGCAAGAAATTCCATTTTTATACGTTTCAATTCATCGATACGTCTTGCAGCCATTATAACATGTGCACCATGTTCAAAAGCAATTCGGGCAATTTCTTTACCCAGGCCAGATGATGCTCCAGTAACACAGACAGTTTTTCCATGGAAATATTTCAATGCTTTCGGTTCAAAACATTTAATTCGTGATAATCGATAATAAACGACATATGATAATAAAAGAATTATAAAAATCACAAAAATCGTAAATAAAATCATTATATTGATCGAATGAAATGTTAAAAATTTTAAAAAATAAAAAAACAAAATCCGAATGACAATTGTACCAAAAGCATATGATTATAATCATAAGGAATGGTAGATGGCGTTATCATCAGCCAAAAATTTCTTTATTCGCGGATCTAATAAGTATACATACATAATAATAAAAGGATTCCAATGGGTATGAAAATGAAAATGACGAAGAATCTGTGCAAGTTCAAACTTTGACTGCAAACATAGCCGAAATCGCGAATGGAATAGGACGAGATGGGTTCGAACAGATAGAATCAAGTGATATTCAGGAATTGCTTGAATCGCAAGATGAAGATTTGACTGAAACCGACTTGGAGGAAATGTTAAATTCACAGCCCATTGAAGAAAAGGCTTCAACAAGCACTGGAAACGTGACATTTAATTTGAAGGTTTAAGAATTGCAAATGAACTTTGCGATTTCTTTATGAACATTGATCCGTCTATGGAACGAAATTTTAAATTACATTATTCAAACAGGTCGATATAATGAAATGAAAGGAGAATCATTATGGAGGGACATGGAAGAATCGGTTTTTGTGGTTGCGGTTGGAAACATGCTCGTTTCTCTCACCGACATTCTCGGTCGAAATAGGAAAAGGTTATACAATAGGCAGGACTATGCTCAGCCAGTTGACTGCTACATAACAAAAAATGCGTTTTTTGCGCCCTCTACATTTCCTATCCCCTTTAATGTTCAAAAGATTGTGAATTGAAAAGAAAATTATTCATTATCAATGAATTTTTACGTTCAACTATCGTTCATTCTTCACCAACAAAATATCGGATGCAATCGATGATGATTAGTCGATTTTCATCATCGATTAGTGGGAAAAATAATTTTCTCACACTTTTCCCTTTTTTATCAAGATCAAGTTTTTTTTTCATTACACACCTCAGTCATTAAAATCATCAAAATCATCATCAGTGCCAAAATAAAAACCACAATTTATGTCGTCACATTACAATCCTCTTTCATTCAATTTGGCATTGAAAATTTCATTCATAAATTAGATCTAATCAAAAAATCAATAACATAAATCATCCATTGATCCAAAGAAATGACATTTTGTTGGGTGAAAAAAAACGATTATCATCGTCATCATTTTGTTGTTGGCAACAACAAAAAATCGAAATCTTATGAATCATTAAAGATTTCAATGACAATAACAACGATCAAAATTTCACAAATTTAAACCACAAAAAACAGATTCATTATTTGGATCGAATTATTGAACATTATTATCTACCACATTGTGGACAAGAATGGATTTTTTTCTTGGTATTTTTATCGTCGAGAATAACAACAACAACCGCCGACGAAGACGACAATTTAAATTTAAATTTTTGACCGATAATAATCATGATGAAATAAATGTTTAATGGAATTGGCCTGACAAATAAATGAATGATTCGAATCATATCATTCGACAACAAAACATTTCACTGACACACACACACATATACACAAAAGCGAATTCAATGAAATGGAAATGATCAAACATTTTAATCGTAAAAATTCATCTTTAATAACCAATATTTTCTATCATTCTATTGGTCTATTGTTTTTCATTATGAAATTTGGTCAAAAGAAAAATTCAAATACTCAAACCGATTTGAAAATCTCATCACAAAAAACGTGGCTAGAATGGATTCATCAAATTCATCATTTGGATCATTTACATCCATTAATTCGATTATTTATTCCATATAAAAGTTTACAATATTTTAATGATTATTATAACTATGTACGACGTATCCACCATCATCGGCAACAAACAAATGAAAATGCTAAATCACCAATTGTATCGTTTCTATTATACAATAATCATTGTTCATATGGCAAAATTAATACATCTAACATTCTTATATTTATCACGTAATCATACAGATGATATGATAAAAATTATTCAAGGTGACATATCCATCATATTCCAGGTGAATCAATTTGAACAATTATTGACAATATTTCCAATGATTTTGGTTTAAAAGCATTCTGGCAACTTTTTATTCGACCATTTCATATTGGAAATCGTATATTGGCTGATATTTTATTCAGTCATGATCATCCAGAACGTCGATATTTCATTCCACCATATAAGATTTATGACTATTCAGCCGTTAATTGTATCAAATGGACTGGTTGGTCATGTGCAAATGTTTTACATTTATTTTTTCCAATTTTACGTGAGTAATTCCTATTCCTATTTTGCCTTTTACTAATTCTCTTTTGCTATCTAAATATAGATATAATAACTTTAATTCTTTTATCGACAATTATCGAATATATTGTGGAACATTGTGAATATTTTCAAATCGATAATGGTGTATATTTGATTATAACATTGATATTGATATTTATAATTGTAATAATTGTTACAATTATTGGTTATTCATTAATTTTTTTCTTCATCAATATCAGTATCATGATTGTTTGTCAAGGTTTAATGATATTATTATTTATTTGGATACGATTATGGCAAGCACGAAATTATCTTCGATTAATATCGCTCAAATCCAATATTGATCATATACAACGTTCATTGAAAAAATTTATTAAATTTCAACGACAAACCATTTCGTTGATCATTTTGGTGGATCGTTTTTATAGTAAATCATTTCTATTGATTATGTTGATTAGTTTGCCGATCAATATTTTTGCTATTATTGAATTAATTTGTGGTAATGCAATGAAATTTATTATTATAATACTTGCATTACATGAATGGTTGATTATATTTGCCTTGCATTTATTGATTGCAACAATCAATGAACGTATAAAATTATCCAATAAACAAATGTTTGGCATATTGGCAAGAACAACAACAACAACAATAACAAAACGAATCGTTACAAATCATCAACCAAATTCATTTTATTTTAATTGGAATTGTAATTGTTACCTGCAGACAATGTATACGCAAATAAGACCATATGGTTTTACATATGGATCAATTAGTTTAGTATCGATGCAATCATTTGTATTGGTAAGTGCATTGAATTATTATAATCGAGTTTTTCAAAATTTTGTTTAATCCACAGTTGACCGTTGGCTATATTCAAGGAATATTATTCTTTTATAAATTATTCAATCACCTATGATCAATCAATTAATCATTTTGTAATCGAATAAATCGCCTCATCCGTTGACCAATGGACCATATGAATATCGTATAAGCAAAGATCATAATCCATGAACAAATATTGGCCAATATATGCCACAAATAGCCATCAATATAATGTGGCCAATATAAACGTAAATGTTGATGAAGGATATGTTTAAATTTTGGTAATTGTTTGGCAGAAATGATGAAAAAAACAACACTTGTCCATGAAGAAATTACATACAGAATTGTCGATATAAACATTGTTATCGGTTTGGATTCAACTTGGCCATAATCGTATAATTTTTTACATAAAAAACACATAAGAAACATGTATATAGATGTCGCCAAATACATCCAACAAATACCAATTGAATGAATGATAAATTGTTGATTTGAACGGAAATTAATCCAAATCAATGTACCGATGGTGGCCAAAATTGCTACAATCAATGCTTGATGATTTCTTTGCTGTAATTTTTGTATCGTCTGTTGTGATTCACTATTCATATTTGTTTCTTTTGTCATAGCCATATTAAAATAGTATTTCAATTGTCGATAACGATAAATGATGGTAATGATGAATAAAATGATTAAAATATGACCAATGAATGAAAAATATCCAGCAAATAATCGACCGATACTAGCTATATCGGAAACATATGGTGGTGGTATCGATGGATCAATCAAATCATAACCAATACCAATGAAATAACCAATCAGAATATTTAATGGCCACATCAGACCATTGATTATCGGTATGATCCAAATGAAATTTTGCCATTTTTTTAATTTTCGATTTTCATTCGTCGTCATTTCGTTGTCGTTGTCTTTGTCGTTGTTGCTTACATTATTATTGGTCATGATGATGATAACAGATTAGCACGGGATAAATTTCAAAATCCAAATGATGAAGAAAATTTTTTTTCAAAAAAAAAAAAAAAAATTCATGACTAAATTTTGGGTGTGTGTAACAACATCAAAATGATGATGATGATGACACGCCTTTATAATTATAAATTGTCAAAATAACAATGTTTTTTTTTGAGAAAAAAAAGAACAAAAATCCTTTTTTTTTTTTTATCCATGTGGAGGTAAAAATAGGAATTATAAAATCAATTCGTCAGTGAAAAAAACAAACAAACAAATTCGAATTATTTTTCATTCGAATGATTGATGGTGGTTGGTGGTATACAATATTCATTCATTCATTTAGTCATTCATTTCAGAACATTATCTGATTCCAACCATGAAACAAACGCATTCGTCTACTAATTGAACAAAGAAATGGAATGTACATGATTATGGCTATCCATTGTGTTATGGTTGATGCACAATGCCAATCATAACCATCCATATTTGAACGCCAAAATAAACGTTGTCTTGTGTTCATTATATCATCAAATGATTTTAATTGTGTTGCCGATACAATACCAGCTATCAGGGATATTATAGCAGCGATGGTAAAAATTATAGCCGAAATGTACATTGTAATTGGTTTGGATTCAATTTCACCATAATCATATAATTTGTGACTCAGATGACACTGTTCAAATCAAGTAAATTAATTAATAGAAAAAATTCAATTTTTGTTTGTATTAATTAATTATCATTACCATCATAAACATATAGATGATTGAAAAAATAATAAAAATGACAACAGCAATCCAATGAATATAAAAATGTTCAGACATACGAAAATTACCCAATGTGATTGAACCAAATACCAATACGAAATTGCAAAGAAATGCACAGAAATTACGTTTTTGTAATTTTACTAAAATTTTCTTTGCATGTTTATTATTATTCGTTTCTTTTTCAAATCCACTAATCAAATATAATGATACTTGTTTATAACGACAATATGTGGCCATTAGATCTATAGATGATAAAAAAATAAATAAATACGATACGATTAAATCGATACTATCGATATGTTGTTTTTGTTTTGTTTTGTTTTGAAAAATATATTTACAAAGAAATGAGATGTTTGTCAAGAATTCGCTGAAATAGCTTGCATATGGATATAATGAACCGATATCGCTTGGATATGGCCATACTGGTTCAATCATTTCATTGCTTGTTAGATAAGCATAACTTGAAAAAAAAGAATCGAATCAATTACCAGAATCGTATAATCATTTAATTCAATCTTATTACATACCCAATAATTAAATTCAACGGAATATACAATACAGCCAACAATGGTATGAGCCATAAATATTGTTTCAAACGTCGATGCATTTTTTGCATCTTACTTAGATCATAATCACTCATACTGGATTCTGAACTTGAACGAGAATTTGCGTTAGTGGTGACGGCCATTCAATGATGGAAAACAAACACAAATGATATAGAGAGATAAGAAAAACCAACAACAAAAATTCCAATCGATGTGGTGATCGACTAGGAAGATGTTTAAAATTCGAATGAATGAAATGGAAATGAATTTTATAAAAATCTAGCCACGGGCAAATTAGCCACTTGTTTTGTATATGGCATCAATATCGCCAACAACAAAAGCAACAGCCATTCGTATCATCATCATCATCATCATTTTTTTTTTGGAATAGCCAAACAAGGCGTCAACAACAACAACAATTCAATACATCGCATCATCAGACCATAAACATACAACGTGCGATCACCACGCACACAAGTATTCATTATATGAATGAATTATTACATGACAGGTGTGTATGATGATGGAACAAAAGATTTGAATCATCATCATCATCACCATCACCATCACCACCGCCAGACGATAACATCAATAACAACAACAACAACAACAACAGGATTGTGATCATCGAATGAAGTAATTTAACCTTGTTAGTGTTGTTGTTGTTGTTGTTGGTAATTTGCGCCAGTCGCATAATCATTTCATTTTTTTTCACAACAAAAACAGAATGAACTTCCGATTCATAAATTTGATGAAAAGAAAAAGATTTTGATAAAAATTCGAATAACTTGGATACATCATCATCATTTTCGGTGTGATTCATGTTTGAAAAGATTATTATTACCAATTCACCAAAACAGAAAAAAATGATCATTACGCAAGTCTTTTTTTTCAAAAAAAAAACTTCCATAAAGGTATTTTATTATGTCTGCTCTTTCTGGTTTTACTTGTTTTTGGATTCATTTCTCATGGTCATCGCCAAAAGCATCGCATAACAAAAAAAAGAAGAATAAAAGAATAAATGAATGAATGAATGAATGAACGAATTAAATCCCTTTATAGATAATTGTTTTTAATAATAAACAAAATTGGAAAAACTCCTACGCGCATTTATTATGTTTGCTGCTGTTATTCATTTGTAAATTCCAAAAGTGAATGCAAATGACAAGAATATGTGGCCTTGGATGTTAGATAGAGGCACCATCATTTTAGTAGTGTATTATTTGAATAAATTTCTTCCATTTTAAACAAAAAAAAAAAAAAAAAATAAAGACAAAATGAAACGAAATGGTTACTATTTCGCAGTTAGCTGAAAAACAAAAATTTTTATTCCGATTTCTTCTTCTTAAACAGAAAAAAAACTCCACAACAACACACAAGAGTCGTCTCTCTCTCTATCGATCAATAGAGATCGATAAGTGTATTTCTATTTCTTGTTAAATTCTTTTTTCTTTTTATTTTTATTGAAGGTCAATTCATTTCATAGAGATATCTCAAACATATAAAAATATGGAAACGATTAATGTTATGTACAACACTCATACACAATAAAACAAACATAAACCACCGGATATGGAAATTATCTAGAAAAAAAAATTTCAAGGCAAAACTTCTGTCGATTCTTTTTGTTGTTGTTGTTGTTGTTGTCTGGTTGTTGTTAGTATCGATGTTGATGGTTGTGAGGTTGTTGATGTTGAACAACCAACTTGTTGTTGATCATTCGGTTGCTGTTGTGAAATTTCATCTTGAATTCTTTGCTGTTCACGTAATACAATATCATAACTTGGTGGTAAATCATTTAGATCCATACGAGATAAAGCAGATGGTGTTTTGGTTGGATCCGGTTGTAATGAGGATGTAACGTTACGACGTTGTCGTCGATGTGTACGTGTTGTTGAATGATTATTTCGACTTGAATTTGAATGATTCGATGTCGATGTTCTTGGTGATTGTGACGAACGGAAAAGACGATGTCCAACATAAGCAATAATAACAATCATTAAACACATTGGTAATAGAAAAATGGCATCATCAAAAAACTGGAAAACGTCGGCCCAATAAATATACATTGAAGTGTATGTGGATTTTCTCGGGAATCTTGATCACAAATACATCGTGAACGGTTTGAATGTTTGGATCTATGACAAATACGATAATAATCGGAAAACATTTGACACTCATAATCATAAAGACAATTTTGACTTTTTGATCGGCAATGTGTCCATTGTTCATCGGGGTAATGATTTGGTCGACATACTAAGACACCATTACGACATACTAATGATTGATTTCGTAATTCCGATTCTGACAATAAATCATTCAAACACGATTGGCCCAAATATGATACACAACGTTGCCGTTTTTGACTTAAAAACATACCATGTTGACAATCAATACATTTCTTTTTAGATAGATTACATTTTCGATAGGGATCAATTTCACTACTACAATTTTGATCATTGTGGCAATCATATTGTTGACAGTATTCGTGAACATTACTATCACCAATGGTAGGATTATAACCGGGTGCACATACACATTGATAATTATAACAAATTAATGTTTCATTATCGCAACCATTCAATGGATTACAATAGGAACCAAGTGTTAATGATTGAACTATAGTGAAATTTTCAATAATAACCATAAAAATGATTGATGAAACAATGGTTAAAGAAGTGAAACGATTCCAAGATATTTGATTCATAGTGATTTTCTTCATGAAAATTATCTGTAAGAACAAAGAGAAAAAAATGATGGATTTTTTTTTCAATAAAATGATGATGGATAATGAGAATTGATCATTATATGATTGTAATTGATTAGTAGTTTGGTTGAGTGATGATAAAAAAAAAATACAATTTTTGGTTACAAAGTATTTAGCAGCAGCAGTAACAGCCAAAAAAAAAAAAGATTGTATCGTATAGAAATCCTATAAAAAGAGTGAATAAATTGGAAAAAATTTGGCTCAATATACCAAATATTTTTTGACCTCGATGATTTTGTCGTACCTTTTTGTTGTTGATTGCATTTTTTCAATTGAGATTTGATTTGTTTTTTTTTTTTTGATGCTTTATCTTTTTATATCAATAATAATAAAATCAACACATCGTAGCCACCCACCAATCGGTTACCGTGACGATAAAAATATTGATGATGATGATGATGATAAACAACAATAATTTTTTTAAACCATTCAACTGGATTTTTGGTTTTTTTTGTGGATAAAATATATGTGGAAATATCCATAATGTTTGTTGAATTATTCGCATTTGGTGGTCATGGATTTTGATGAATTTTAATCATAAATTTATAATCAATCAATGATGATCCTAAAAATATAGTGAATAAATTCATTTATTTATTAATGTGAAAATTACGTTTTAAAAACGATATATTTACCTTTGCTTTGAATTGTTTTTTTTTGTCTTTTCAATTGATTGATTGATTGATTGATCGATCTTTGATTATCATGATGATTGGCATATTGCATTATAATTTTATTATTTTAATCATAATCATTATGATTTGATTTGATATTGAACTTGACAATGGTAGAGGAGAAAAAATTGGATATCTAACACACACATACAGTTTCCATAGGACAAACGTCATGATCGTCATCAAATCATTATCATCATCATCATCATATAAACCTTTATCGAGGCTAATCCTTGGAATACACACAAAGACATACATTTTTGCACAGTTTTCAATGTCGTCTTCGTCGTCATCATCCAGAAAAAAAACATACATGAATCCGGGATTTGTGTAAAAAAAAAAATTATAGATAACAACAATGATATTCATACCATTTTCTTTTTCCATAGAAATTCATTTTGGAACATTTTTTTTCGATAATTGTTGTTGTTGTTGTTGTTGTTGTTATTGCCATTTTTTTTCCCAGTAAAATGCACCGGAAAAAAATAAAAAAACAATTTATTTGTTTGTCTCTAGTGGTTGTTGTTGCTGATGATTTATTGTTTTCCATTTGTTTCACATTTTATTTTTATTTTTTTTTTTTTTTTTGGATCAATAATCATCAATCATCATCAGCGATGCACCAAAGGCATTATTATTATCTGTTGATTATAATAATAATAATAATAATCATGTGAAAATGCAATCTTGTATCAAGAAATCAAGTTGATTTGGTTTCTGAATATAAAGAACAAAAAAACCGTACAAATACAGACAATATAACCACAGTATAATTGTAATTATTATTAATTGGATTCAAGGTTCATATGAGCAGCATCGATAATAATAATAAAAAACGATTCATCAGATAGATGTCATCATCATCATCACTAAGTATAATAAAAAAAAATATGAAATGAAATCATTTTTTCTTTGAAAAAAAAGAGTAACAGATCAAAGTAACAAATCTTACCATAAAAAAAAACAAAAGACAAACATTCGAACCAACAAACAGTATATCAAATTGGTCAAGTAACGCCATCTGTCGATCGAGAATCAAAAAACGCCGTTCTTGTTTTTGAGCACAAGTGTCACACATTTAGACTTGTGTTTTGTGTTGTGTCAATCGTCGTCGAAATATATGTGTGGTTTTTGGTTATCATTTCAAACCAAACAAAAACCTCTTGATGCTTTTGAAGATAATTTATCAAGTTTCATTTCTATTCTTTGCTTCTTCATTTTATTAAATTAAATTTTTTTTTGTTTTATTGATTTACTATGACCACCATAAAACAAATTGTTGATATCAATAATGATGATCAACAACAACAGCAACCAGAAAAGCAGCAGTGTTGGCAACCAAAAAATGATGATGATAACAACGACCAACACCATCATAACAGCCACAATGATGGAGAGGAAAATATCAAAACCGGTAACAATAACAATAATAATAATAATGTTCGACAACAACAGCGACAATTTTATTTTAATAATAATGATGATAATAACAAAAATAATTATAATTCAATGTATAATGCAATAAAACCACGACAATCAATACGTAATCGTCGTAATCAAAGATTTGAAAAACAATTCATATCATCAGCTGCGACAACGGTGACCAAATCATACGATGATTCATTAGATTCATTAGAATTTATCAAAGAATTAAAAAGACGTTCCAACAATAGTAGTAGTTGTGGTGGTCTGCTATCAATTTCACATTCGATTTATATGTGGCTCACACAGATAATAACATGGATTCAATCATCCATTATATCATATTTACATTATTCACGAATCAACATTCGTTTAGCAATTTATTTCCTAATGATTATTGTTGCCGGATTGATTAAAGATTATGTTGGATTAGATTCACCAGATACGGATACTTCATTGTTACCTGAATCGTTATTGAATTTTATACATCGTTATATACGTTCATCAAAACGTTCATTTTTAAATGTATATTTCGTTAAATTTGGTTGGTTTTGGACATTGGTGGAAACAGTACCATTTATTTTAGCCACAAGATTTATAGTAACATTTAGAAAATATTATTCCAAACAACAAAAGAATGATGGTTCAGAAAATTCTAGAAACAAAAAACGAAAAAATTATGATACAATTAAATCAAGTACTGGTGGTGATGAAATCGATGGCCTCCCACAACAAAAGGATATCGGTCAAAATAATTTCAAACAATTGCCATTTATTCAGGAATATTTTCTTGAATTAGCATCACCATTTATACGATTAGCTCTAGCAACGATTGGATGGTATTTTTCTGTTCAATCATTTGTAATGATTGCCAAAATGACTGGACATTGTCAATCTAAAGATAAATGTAAGTGAATGGAATTTCATAATTGCTAAAAAATTTTTTTTTTTTGATTTCCATCACCACATTTTGTATAGTACTCGTATATCTTCATGCCGAAATTGATGATTGCCTCAAACATGGTAATCGTTGGATATATGGTTTGGACATCAGTGGCCATTTATTTCTTATGACATTTTCAAATTTAATAATCATTGAAGAATTACGTTATCTACTCAGAAGATTTGTAGAATTTAATGAATTTCATCGTTATATAATGATGTTTGATCGTCAACGTGCCGAAAATTTTATTGAACCATATCGATTTCGTTGGAATTCTCCTATACATTGGATTGGATTAATTGGAACATTAATCATGGCAATGATCGCTATAATTTGGGATTATATGATGTTACAGACAATGTTTTTCTATCATAATTTAACACAAAAAATTCTTGGATTTTTATGGGCCACCGTAATGTGGTTTTTAATCTATAAAATCATAACCGGATGGTTGATCAAACGATTAAATGTCGAATACGAAAAATCGGGAAAATGAATACGTTGTACGTCTTCAATGACTGGTACAAAATACACACACATGCTCAACGATATATTCCAAAAAAAAAATTTAATCATTTTATAATTTTGATTTTGATTAATTAATCAGACTGATTGTGTATTGATTGATTTGAAAATTTAGAAAAAAAAATTACAAAGATAAATAATGAAAATTTCACGTCTAAAATTGTTGCTATATTTCCTTCAAATATTAAGAATTGTCATTGTATTCATTCCACAATCAGGTTATATACAACCGGATGAATTTCATCAATTTACCGAACCATTAGCCGAAAGATTTCTACGCGTGGAAACATTAAAATGTTGGGAATTTACCCGTGATCAACCAATTCGTTCAATGATTATACCACAATTATTGATTGGACCAATGTTTCTGGCATTTCATCGAATGTTTTCGCCAACATCATATCAATCATTATCAAGTTATTGGATATTAGTATTACCTCGTTTTATTATGGTTCGTTTTTTTTCATTGATTTAAATTTGATTAACATAATTTGATACAATTTCAAACAGGTTCTATTCAGTTTTATTACCGATATTGTATTGAAACGTCTAGTCACAATGATCAATAATAATTCTGATGGTCATCGATCATCATCATCATCATCTCGAACAAAATTATATACATCTTTGATACATTCATCAACATATTTGGCATTCACCTATTATAATCGAACATTTACCAATACAATTGAAACCATATTGATGGCTTTATTACTATTGATTATATTTGAATCATTACAATTGAAACGACAAAAATATACGGCATCATCAACAAAAATTGGTTCAATACTAGCGATTGGATTTTTTAATCGTCCTACATTTGTCATATTTGCTTCGGTTCCGGTTATATTTTGGATTTGTTCATTTTCTCGTAAGCAAACCACAACAACAACAACAACAACAAAAACAACAGCAAAACATCGAATTTGGTCAATCATAACAAAATGGATACGAAATTCGTTTGCAATTCTACAATCATTTCTAGTCGTATCATTAATGTTCATTGTTGGTGATAGCATCTTTTATAATCGATTCGATCTAATGACCATTATCAATGATCCTTACGATATGATTCAAAATTTAGTGATAACACCATGGAATTTTATCCAATACAATATACGGCCATCAAACCTGGCTAATCATGGTTTACATCCCGTTTATTTTCATTCACTTGTATCAATGCCATTAATGTTTACATTGTTAGCAGTAATGATTTACATGAATCTTTTTCATAATATGTGGAAATTTTTTCGTCATTCATCATCTCGTCGTCAATGTCTCGTACAAATCATAAATGATTTTTATTATGGTGAAAATCAATTCCGTTTTCGTTGTACATTACATCTAACAATTTTGTATCATTATCATTGCTATCATTGATACCACATCATGAACCAAGATTTTTACTACCATTAATCATTCCAATCATTTGTCTATATGGTGATCATTTAGCTCGATTAATGGAAAAATTTCAATCATTATTGGTCATTTGGTTGATCACACAGTTTGTATTGACCATATTCTATGGTTGGATTCATCAAGCTGGCATTATACGATCATTGTTATATTTACAAAATGTCCATCATAATGAACTAATCGCCGATCATATGACGGTTGCTGATAATGTACAAATACGTTTGAGTATTCATGCGTATGTATCTGCCACCACGACATTTGTTACTTATACCACATTCACATGGTAAAAATATTCAAATCAATGATTATTCAATTGAACCAATACAGCCATCATTACGACGGATTTTTGATCAAACCACAGAAACATCAACAACAACAATGATGAAAATATTTCTAATAATGCCATCATGTTATGATGAAATGTTAAACAAAATGATTATCGATGAACAATTTGAACGTCTCAATGTAACTAATCAACAACAACAAATCGAAATTGAATTATTACAAAGAGAATTTCCTAATTTTAGTGCCGAAGATTTAGATCAATGTTTTTGATGATCAACAACAACAACAACAACAAAGATGATGATAGTGATTCAACAATGTTGAAATGGACAAATCGTATATGGAAAACATTTGGAATGAGTATTTGGCTAATAAAAGTAGTAAATCAATGAATAGGATCGAACATTTTTATGTATTGACAATGAATTCATGATGAAATGAAAAATTCGAATGTTATCCACACACACACACACACAAACACAAAAGAAGAATTTTTTTGAAGACCAAAAAAAACTGATTTTATTAAGACATTGAAAAATATATATATTATGATACATTAAAATTATTGTGACTTTTCTTTTGATGAATGAACCTTTAGAATATGCATTTTAAGATAATCACTACGACGAAATCTACTGGTACAATGTTGACAACGAAATGGTGATTGATCCAAATGAATTATTTGATGATCTTTAAGAGCTTCGTTTGTACGAAAACGTCGTTCACAATGATTACAATGAAAATTTTTTTCATCACTATGTATAAGAATATGACGTTTCAATGTTTGTTTATCTACACTGGAATAATCACATTGTGGACATTTAATTTTGAATCTAGAATCATTTGTATGTCTAACTTTATGGCAATTAAGTTTATATTTACTGGAAAATAGATTACCACAATGTTCACAAACATGGTCACGTCCTGGAACATGTGTCCGTATATGGCGATCCAGTAGATGTTTTTCATCAAATCCAAATAAACATTTTGGACAAGGAAATTTAAAATTGACTTTTCTTTGATTTGAATTTGATTCTGTTAGATCATCATCATCATCATTATCCTGAATCTCATCAGGAATAATTGTGTATTTATCATGCCATTTTTTGGTTATTGTTTTTAATGGAAATGTTGTCGTAGTCGTTGATATTTGTTGATGTTCCATAAAATCTTCGTTTAATGAATCAAAAAGTCGGGAACAATTTGCCAATTTTGTTTCAATAGTTTGCAAACGATTCATTAAACGTTTTTCAAGTGAATCAATTTTCGATAAAAATAATTGACAATTCTGACTATTGGTTGAATGCATTTTTTCCAATGTTGATTTAAGTAATTCTTTTAGCTGTAATGAACATGTTTTTCGTATTTCAAATTCATCATTTTGTTCATAATTTGATTCATTTATGTTCATGGTGTTATTTGGATGGATCATTGTCGTTGATGAATAATTTGATGGATAAATAGAATGATGATGATGATATTGTTGTTGCTGCTGTCTTTGAAATTGAAAATTTGGATTTTTATTCATATTCATGTGATTCATATTTACTTTTGTCATGGCAGAACATGTTCGTTGTTGTTGTTGTTGTTGTTGTACAGATCCTGGAATCGATAAATTATTCAATCCATTGGTTGTTGTTGCTATTGTTGTCATCATTATAGGCGACGTATTTGGATAGATTATATAATTCGAATTTGAATTCATCTGCAATGGTTGTTGTTGAATTGAATAATTCAAATGATCAACATTATGTCCACTTATCATTGATTGTTGTTGTAATTGTTGAAATTCATTATATGGAATTTCAACTAAATAATCAGCCAAATTCTGATTGTTTGATGATGTTATACATATTGATGGTTGTGTGGACGAATTCATTGTGTTCAATTCTCAATGCAAATTTGAAGAATTTGATGATTTAGACTTGTGTGTGATGATATATAGAAATCGTGTTGTGCTTGTTCTGCTCATACAATTATTTCATTTCAAAAAAAACAACAACAAAAAATCACACACACACCATCTGTACATTCACTATTTATACATAGTAATACATTGCTGGGTAGATATAGACATATATAAATGTATTTAGTTATTGTTTGCTCAACTTTAACAGTCCGAACATTCGAAATACTGCTAAGGGGGTTTCTTTTTCCTTTCCTACACATCTAATTAATTTTGATAATTTAATCATTGATTTTCGTTTGAAGATATTGATATCAAATCTGATGTCTTCACCATCTGCTAATAGACTTCTAACCACATTGGATAGGATTGAAAAATGTTTGATCAAATTTTTTGAATCATCAGGTGATAATGAATACAGTGAGCTCATTAAAGAATATCAACAACAACATCATTTGATGATAACAAACCAGCCATCTATAATGGATAATAACGAACATTCTTTAAATGGCCGTTGTCAAGAAATTCTTTCTGAATTAGAACTTATCGAAAATCGTTATATCGAGATTGATGATGCAACATCATCGATTGATCATGAATACGATGAGCGTATTGACAACGAATGTCAACAACTAAATAAAACTCTTACCCATAAAAATCAACCAATAACGATGGAAAGTTCAACACAGGTAAGTTGACCAATTGTTATCAGCAGTCTAATTTTTTTTATTCAATTAATCTAGACATCATATACCGATGGCGTTCAAATAATATTGTCTAAATTGGTAAAAATGGATTCTAAAATTGATCATTGTTCAAGACAAATTGAATCTTTAAAAAATGGTTCCAACCATTATGAACTGCAACAACAATCATCATCATCATCATCATCGTATTGTCATGACGATCGTCAAATATCGAACAGAATGGATGATTTACCAATCACCAATTCCGACAATTGTACGATCAATAGTAATGATGATGATCTGCAAATGAATGTTGATCGGGAATTTCACTGTCCAAAATGTCCATTTGAATTTGCTACACAAAATATTCTTAATCGTCATTTGCGAACTCATGTTCCTGGCCGAAAATTCATATGTTCAATCTGTGGTAATCGTTTCCAAAATAAATCAAATCTTAACAAACATTATCGCATTCATTCGAATGAAAAACCATTTAAATGTTCTCACTGCAATTATTCAGCTAAACGAAAAACGGATCTTGATAGACATGTTGTCATACATTCAATCATAAAATGCCAATATTGTGATTATCAAACTGAACAAAAATTGGATCTAAACAAACATCAAATACTTGAACATTCCTTCTTAATTAAGACCATAAAGGAATTTTCAACAACAACAGATACAATTTCTCATAATGTATCAATGAATTGTATCCAAATGGACAATGATGAAACAACAAAATTACCATCATATAATTATAAATGTGATATTTGTTCCAAATGTTTTAGTACAAAATCACGTTTTGATCGTCATAAAATTATACATACAGATGAACGGCCATTTGATTGTCCCAATTGTAATCTTAAATTTAAACGCAAAGATCATCTTCAAAGTCATATGAAACGAAAACATCTATAAACTTGAATCGTGAACCATTTTTGACAATGCTGTCAGCTGATTGATTATATATCGTAATTGATTTCCAAAAATTTATACATACTATCTATAATAATTTTGTAATTTTTCTTAATACCCTTATATTTATAAAGGAATAAGGGTTTTTCGTTTTGTTTAAATAAATAAATAATAAATCTATAATAATAATAATGCAAATAATAAAAATAAAACAATCATTTACAATGAATCTTTATCCGATGATGATGATGATTTTGATTTATTTTTGCTAAGTTGAATTGAATTTCCGTTCAATTTTTTCGTCAACAATGATGACAATGGTGATATTTTATGATTAATTTTCGATGATGATTTCGATTCCATTGGTGACATTGATTTCACTGATGTTAAACTCATACGGAATGCTAATCGACGACGACGATAATTAATACCGGTCCAAATGAGCATTATGATCAACAGGGCAATAATTAGACAAAGACTAATGATTGTAATTAATAAACGATTGATTATACGCCGATTTTCATCATCATCATCATCATTATTGTCATTTCCATTGCCAATGTTATTTTTATCATCAACCAAAGTTTGATTTTCATTTTGCATAACTGAAAAATCATCGATAGTAGTACTGCTGATGATGGTAGTAAACCAGAACAACATCATCATCATCATTGTCGCTACAAATGGATTCATCATCATTTCAATGGTTAATTTTTTTCTTTTGATCCAATTTATAAATGGCAACGTATTTTAAAATTTCAAATTAAATTTAATGTTTGAATATATATACATCATCAACAAACAACCATCGTTCGATTTCGAATAAAATTTCAAAACAAAAAAAAATTATTGTTACAAAACATTCCCAATAGATGGCAATGTTTGTGTTTCATTTTTTTTTTTTTTTGCTTTGTTGTTTGAAAAAAAAAAAAACTTTTGATTCACACAAAAAAAAAATTGCTATTGTTCCAAAATAAAAACCGGAAACCAAACGGATAAAAATCTACATACAACATGCACGTACAATCAAAAAAAAAAAAACAATCGAATCCATCCTTTTATCATCATCATCATCATCATCATTTATTTGCTTTTGATTTCAAGATTTTGACAAAAAATTTTTTTCCCAATTTCAGGTACATGTATTTTTGATGTTTATTCAAAACTAACCAAAAAAAATCTTTTCTCTCATTATAAATACAGGCAACATAAATATTGATCCAAATGTAATTAACTAATAAAACAAAAACGAAAACAACAAGGATGATTGACCATGCATGACACGCGTATGTGAACACAAATTTTTTGTTTTTCAACGAAATTTGACTTTTATTCATGAATTGAAAATTTGAAAAAAAAAAAAATAGTCTTGGCCAATGAACACAATTGAAAATCGAATGTTTCATAGTAAGTGAAAAGGACGTGCTCTCTTAATAACAACAACAACAACAACAATAATTACGGATTTTTCTTTTTTTGTAATTTTTTCTTTTCAAATATTTCGTTTCCGTTGTTAGATATATTGCCATTGAATTATGAAAATGAATGAAAAAAAAAACAAAACGGATATATGTTTGTCGGTTCTCGATTTTCTTTTTATTTTCAGACAGATTTATTAAAGAAAAGGAAAAATGAAATTTTTCTTTTTTTTATGAATGAAATCAACAACAAAAGGAGAGAAATGATTGGAACAACAAAATGTCACTATTACTACTGCTGCTGTTGCTGCTTTTGAAGGTTGATGAATAGATTCAATTTCAACCAACAACAACAACAACAACAACAACAAAAACCCGAAAACAAAGAAATCATTTTTTCATGATTCAGCCATTCATTGTAATTGATCTAACGATCATTATCATCATTCAATCCAGTGTTTGATTTAGTTTGTTTTTTTTTGGTGTGTCAAAAAAAAAGACAAAAATGAAAATAAAATGATCCATGGTGTGACAACGAAACACAAACACACACGAATAAAGCAAATTTCAAAATAATTCATCGATATATAAAAAAAATCTGATGATCATCAATTGTGATGTAAATGATGGATACATCTGCTTTGGTAACCACCGCAACGACCAATGTTAATCCATTACTTCCAGCATTAGTACCATTAGCTACATTATTATGGCTTAAAGCAGCTGATCTTGGCCTGTTTATATCACGTAATTCTTGGGATCAAGAATATGATTATATTGTTGTTGGTGCCGGTTCAGCTGGTGCTGTGGTCGCTAATCGTTTATCAGAAGATTATCGTACAAAAGTTTTACTTCTTGAAGCTGGTGGTTCGGAAACATTATTCAGTGATATACCGATCGCAGCAGCTACATTACAAATGACACCCATTGATTGGGCATATCAAACTGAACCACAAAGTGTTTCATGTTTTGGTTTAAAAAATCAACGTAGTCGATGGCCACGTGGTCGTGTTCTTGGTGGTTCATCTGTTTTGAATTATATGCTCTATGTTCGTGGTAATCGTCGTGATTATGATCGTTGGGTTGATCTTGGTGCATATGGTTGGAGCTGGCAAGATGTTCTGCCATATTTTATGAAATCAGAAGATAATCAAGATCCAACGGTAGCTGCAAATGGTTATCATGGTGTTGGTGGTTATTTAACCGTAGCAAATCCACCGGATTCAACACCCATATCGTTAGCGTTTCCTGAAGCAGGTAAACATCTGGGCTATCCAAATGTCGATATCAATGGTCCAACACAAACAGGTTTCACAATACCGCAAGGTACAATTCGTAATGGTGCTCGATGTTCAACATCCAAAGCCTATTTGGCCAGTGTTCGTAATCGCCAGAATCTTCATGTATTAACATTTGCATATGCAACTAAAGTTATATTCAATGAATATAAACGTGCGGTTGCCGTACAATTTGATCGTTTTTCATTAACACATATTGTCTATGCACGTAAAGAGATTATTCTATCGGGTGGATCTATAAATACAGCACAATTACTTATGTTATCTGGTATTGGTCCACGTGATCATTTGGAATCATTAGGCATACCTGTTATCGCCAATTTACCGGTAGGAAAAAATCTTCAAGATCATATTTATCCGGGTGGAATTCATTTCACCATTGATGGAAAATATTCAATGATACAACGACGAGTTTCATCATTACCGAATACGATTGCTTATTTTGCCCTGGGAAGAGGTAAAAAAAAATTAATCATCTTTATATTCGAATCTACTATTTTCATACATGTCTATTTAAATCAAAATAGGTCCATGGACTCTTTTGGGTGGTGTTGAAGGATTGGGTTTTATCAAAACAAAATTCGCCAATCAATCGGATGATTGGCCAGATTTTGAAATTCATCTTGTAAGTGGTGGCCCATCATCCGATGATGGTCAAACATTTCGTCGTGTACAAGGCTATACGGATGAAATGTGGACACAGGTTTATCAACCATACGTGAAATTCGATACGTTTTCATTTTATCCAGTGATGTTGCGACCAGAAAGTATTGGTTATATTCAGCTTCGATCATCGAATCCATATGATCCACCGATAATTGATCCAAAATATCTAACACATCCAAAAGATATAGCATCAATGGTGGATGCAATGAAAATCTGCATTGCTGTCGGTTTGACACCACCATATCGTAAGATGAAAGCTCGTCTTTTCGAAACCATTTTTCCTGGCTGTGAACATTATCCAATGTGGAGTGATGAATATTTGGCTTGTGTTGCACGTACATTTACATCGACATTATATCATCCAGTTGGTACGGCTAAAATGGGCGCACCATGGGATCCAACGGCGGTTGTTGATCCTGAACTTCGTGTACTGGGCGGTGTGAAAGGTATTCGTGTTGCCGATGGTTCTGTTATGCCAAAAGTTGTATCCGGTAATACCAATGCACCGATCATAATGATTGGTGAACGTGTATCGGATATGATTAAAGGTATCAATCTACCACGTTATGATCCTGATACAGCTAAACGTATGGCTGATTATTGGAATGATATTGATCGAAAATTTTTCGATCCAAATCATGATCCAACAAATTTTGAAAATAAGAAAAAATAAGTCAAACAACAACAAACAACATTACTGATATATTTACCCAGCCATTCATCCATCCATCCAACCATCCATCAAGATAATTTCAATCAACAAATAGTGTATACATACACAGTGCCATCTATGTAATTAACCGTGTTTTCTTCTATATATCCATTTTTGTCCAAATAAGTTATTTTTTCTTTTCGTTTAACAATTTGTCAATTGAAATCAATTTATTATTTCCGGTGATCCGAGAAAAAAAAATTCATTTGTTCAGATTATGATGTTGATTTTAGTTTGATAGTAGAATATAAATAAATGAACAAAACAATAATCATATGTTATGTCATTTATGTACAGATCTTGAGAAATGATAATGTTCAGTGTTGTGTCCGACATATCGAGAGTGAAATTTAAAAGTTTTCAACAAAATGAAATGAAGAATGTTGAGTCAATTATTTTGGTTTCAATCATTTATATCATATAAATAAAGAGGTTGTTGAAGAAGATGATAATTGATGATTTGGATCAACAACAACAACAACAACAACAAAAATGTGAGAGACTGCTGCTGATGATTAACAAAAAAAAAATCTGAGAATACAGAAAAGTGGAAAAAGGTATGATTCGAATGACAATGTTTTCTTGTTTTTTGAATATTTTCTCACCCAAAAAAAAAAAAAATAGAAAATGAACAATACCGTTTTTCTCTTGGACGACGACAATGACGATGATCACCATTCTTTCAACATGTTCATTTCGGTTATATTTTCATTCGGCTAGTTGGTCGGTTTCAGTTATCGGTTGGTTGTCAGTCATATCGGGATCATATTATCACCACCAACTATCGACGTGAAACAAAACAAAAAGATTTTTTTCATTTTCTGTGTATTTCAATTTGTCACTAACAACAACAACAACAACAAATAACAATGACAACAGCAGCGACCACTTCAAATAAAAAAAGTCTCATGATCATCATCATCATCATCATCATCGGTTGAAATGAATGGCTTGAATGGCCTGACTAATTGCAACGAAAATCAGTGACAAAGATGAGCTAATTTTTTTGCTTCTGCTTTTGTTTCATCTGTAATGTAAAGCACTCACACACACACACACACACTTATCGTGGACAACAACTAAGAGTGAATGAAAAAAAAAGAAATGTAATTTTCTTTTCGTCTTTTTGTCATCATATAATCAATAATAATCATCACCATTGAAAATAAAAAGCACCAATCAAGTAATTTTATTTTTTCAATCAGATCAACCACGACAAAAAAAAAGTTTCAATTTTTTTGTTTTGATTTTTGATTTAACCCATTTTTAAATAACCGGCATAAACGAACCAACGACCGACCGGATACATCATTTTTTTTCATCTTTGAAATATTTTTTTTTTCATGTGCCATCAACTTATTCATTGGTTTTTATTTCAATGTTGTGAATTTATGAGCTTTCGTTTTTTTTTATAATTTGAAACTCTTTTTTCAATAATGACATTTCATGTTGCACCATTTTTACCGGCCATGGTACCATTGGCCACATTTTTATGGATACGTGCTGCAGACCATTCATCATTTGTATCACGTAATACTTGGGATCCAGAATATGACTATATTGTTGTCGGTGCTGGTTCAGCCGGTGCCGTGGTTGCCAACCGTCTTTCTGAAGATCATCTGAATAAAGTATTATTAATTGAAGCCGGTGGTTCAGAGAATGTATTTAGTGATATACCATTAGCTGCGGCTAATCTACAAATGACACCCATTGATTGGGCTTATCAAACTGAACCACAACAAGCATCATGTTTTGGTTTCATTAATAGGGTAAGCCACTTTACTCACTAAATTGAATGTTGATCAAATTTAATAAATTTTTTTTCAACAACAAAAAAAAATTCAGCGAAGTAGATGGCCACGTGGTCGTGTAATGGGCGGTTCATCTGTTCTAAATTATATGCTCTATGTTCGTGGTAATCGCCGTGATTATGATCAATGGGAAGAGAATGGTGCATTTGGTTGGAGCTGGCAAGATGTATTGCCTTATTTTATTAAATCAGAAGATAATCGTGATCCTTTAATTGCGGCCAATGGTTATCATGGTGTCGGTGGTTATCTAACAGTATCAAGTCCATCGGATATTACACCGATATCTCTTGCATTTCCTGAAGCCGGTAAATACCTTGGGTATCCGAATCCCGATATCAATGGACCAACGCAAACTGGATTCGTTATACCACAAGGTACAATACGTCGTGGTGCACGTTGTTCAACGGCCAAAGCATTTTTATCATCCATTCGTGATCGTTCCAATTTACATGTTTTAACGTTTGCCTATGTAACGCGTGTATTGTTCAATGAAAATCGTCGTGCTATCGGTGTACAATTCGATCGATTCGCCCTATCACATATGGTAATGGCACGTAAAGAAATTGTCATTTCTGCTGGTTCGGTCAACACTCCACAATTGCTTATGTTATCCGGTGTCGGCCCTAAAGATCATCTACAAGCCCTTGGTATACCAGTTATTGCTGATCTTCCTGTTGGTGAAAATCTTCAAGATCACATCTACCCAGGTGGTATTCATTTTAGAGTGGATGAAAAATATTCATTTGTACAACGACGTGTCGTTACTATTCCGAATCTTTTGTCTTATTTTGCTTCCGGTCGTGGTATGTACTGCAAATGAATATTTTTGAGATGATTCATCCTATTAATCTGTTTTTTCGCTACCATCAGGTCCATTGACTGCATTGGGCGGTGTTGAAGGTCTTGGTTTTATTAATACAAAATTTGCCAACAAATCAGCTGACTATCCAGATTTTGAAATTCATCTAATAACCGGTGGTCCTTCATCGGATGATGGCCAAACATTTCGTCGTGTACAAGGCCTCACGAGACAATTATGGCGACAAGTTTATCAGCCTTATATAACATCGGATACATTTTCAGTATATCCGGTAATGTTGAGACCTGAAAGTGTTGGCTACATAAAACTTCGATCATCAAATCCATATGATCCACCAATAATCGATCCAAAATATCTGACACATCCACGTGACATTCTAAAAATGGTTGATGCAATGAAAATATCGATCGCTGTCGGTTTGACACCTGCATATCAGGAGATGAATGCTCGATTATTTGAAACAGTATTTCCCGGTTGTGAACATTATAAAATGTGGAGTGATGAATATCTAGCATGTGTAGCAAGAACTTATACGGCCACAATTTATCATCCAGTTGGCACAGCTAAAATGGGTGCACCATGGGATCCAACAGCGGTTGTTGATCCTGAACTTCGTGTACTTGGTGGTATCACCGGACTTCGTATTGCTGATGGTTCCATAATGCCAAGTATTGTATCAGGCAATACGAATGCGCCAATCATTATGATTGGCGAAAAAGCAGCTGATCTAATCAAAGGTATTAATCTACCGAAATATAATCATGAAAAGAAAATGACGAAAATTAATTCATAAGAAAAAAATCTCATCCACCCGATTTGATCAACTAAAAACAAAAAAAAAAAAAAAAAAATTCAAAAGTGCCATTCATCCAACATTCATCGTGGTTTAATTTTTGTTTCCTTTATTTTTTATTTCTTTTTTGAATTTAAGTTATTAACTCTGCTCTGCTTTTTTTTCGTGTTTGTTTTGGAAAACCTCGAATCTTTACATCTTGGTTTTTTCATTTAAAACTTATATTTTTTCCCCCATTCTGATGATTATGATCACACACAGTGATCATTTTATTTTTACTTTTTTATTTTAAAATTAATAATTGGTTGTATTTTGTAAATTATTATTATTATTATTATCAACTCTTTTAGGAAATAAATGAACCAATTTTGGATTTTTTTGTTGTTTGAATTTCTATTTACACTCAACATTCGAAACTATATACACTCTAATTGTCATTTTTCCATTGTTTAGGTTTTTTTTCACTGTTGTTGAGATCAAAACGAAAAATTTTGATTTTAATCCAGTTTTTTATATTGATAAAAAAACACCCTAAATCATCAACAAATTGATTAAATTGACAATGTAAAAGATTTTTACTTGTTTTTTTTGTATTGTGTCGAATGGCGGAAAAAATGTAAATTTTTTTTTGTTATTTTATTTACAGCCCAAATAATAACCTTTTTCATATCGTTTTAAAATATAGATTCAGTTTGATTGGATACATTTCGAATACGACGACAGAATTGGTAAAAGATGGTGAAGAGTTGACGGAATTTGAATCGATTGAAACCAGTGATTCATATTGTAAATTTCGAAGTCAAATTGCACTGAAACGTTATGCTTTGGATGATGATGATGGCAATAATTTATGGACCATATATGAATGTGGTCCTAAACAAATCGATTGTCCTGTGATATTTTTACCACCAGTAAGTGGTACGGCTGACATATTTTTCTATCAAATGTTGTATCTTTGTGATCGTGGACATCGTGTTATATCGGCCGAATATCCTGACTATTTTTCTATCGATGAATTTATCACTGGTTTTGATCGTTTCATACAATCATTTCAAATACGTAGAGCACACATATTCGGTGCATCATTGGGTGGATATTTAGCACAAAAATATGCTGAAAAATATCCCGAACGGATTGCATCATTAATTCTATGCAATACATTTGCCGATACGACACGATTTCGTTTTGTAAACACGATACCTTTGTAAGTAATTTTAGTACTTGACAAAATGATTTAGTCATGATAAAATTTTCATTCCAAAAAACTAGAATATGGATAAATCCATCGCCGGTATTACGGAAAATATTCATAACGAATCGAATACCCGAACAGGCTGATGAAAGAATACGTGCCGCATACGAATTTATGTCTACACGATTATCCTCATTAACACATAAACAATTGGTAGCTCGTTTACATTTAAATCTAACTGAAAACTATGTACAACCAGATAATCTTCAATCACTTACAATCACCATAATCGATGTGTTTGATGAATGTTCTAATAGTGAATCTACACGTATTGAACTATATAAAATGTATCCAAATGCACGATTAGCACATCTAAAATCTGGTGGTAATTATCCATATCTAAGTCGCAGAAGAAGTGAATTTGCATTTATTGGTTCATCTACGACAATTTCATCATACTGAATTGGTATCTAGCGTTCATTTTCTTCCCACAAGATCTGACGATTAACCGAAACAAAAAAATTGAAATGAAAACTGTGATTTACACACCCACAAAGGCCAAAGCAATTTTTGTTTTATTTACAAGAATTTTTTTTAATTTTATTATGATCATCATCATCATGGTTTAATAATACTGTTACCACTGGTCGATTGTATTTGCGATGGAATATGATCGACAATTGTACTTTTCTTATATTTTAATAATAAATCTTTTTTCATTATCAATTGTTGCCGTAATGATCCAAGTGTTTGTAATTGTTCATCTTTTGTTACATTCGATCCAGGTACCAATGGTATTTGTTGACGAAATTGTTCGAATGTTTCACGTAAACGATTCATTTTACCAACATATTCAGATGTTGATAATGTTGGTTGTGTTGTTGCCACTGATACTGCTGCTGATGATGATACTGATGTTTGTTTATTACCAACAGTTTTTGTAACAGAATTTTCTTGTGTTTCTTTTTCCAGACTTTATTGAATAGAAGAATAGAATCATTAGAAATGTTAAATATTAACGAGCGAAACAATCTTACCATCGCATTATTTCATAGATTTGTGACAGAAAATTTACATTCAAATCACCAATACTGTATTGTGTAGTGGACGATGTTGTCGTTTCCGATTGCTGCTGCTGCTGTTGCTTAGATTCTTGTTTAATTTGATCATCCATTTCATCAAAAGATATCATCAGGATTTAAGATGATAAAATGAAAAAAAAAATTATTCAGACACAAAAATCATCAAAACGTTCATTTGTGTCAGCTGATTTAAATGTTCGTTGAGCATGCGTAATAATGATCAAGACGTTTTCATTTTTATTTGCTCTTTTTTTTTTATTGATTTGCTTATTTTGTTGGTTTACATATCCTTAACACCATCATCACAATAATACTAACACCCACTACTACGACAAAAAAAATGTCGTTATTTTTGGCTAAAAGTACACGCGTTTCCATCATAATTCGTTAATATTTTCAATGTCAATTATTGTTGTTATTGTCAACGAAAACTAGTGCAAAACGCTCACAGAATCAACAATCCAGAAAGAATTCTAAATCCACAATAATAATAATGTTGAAAAATGTGCAAGAAAATTTGGCCATTTTTGATGAGAAATTATCCTATCAATGTTATCGTCTTGGTCAACGTACATTGAATATTAAAAAACGTTATCTACAATCATTAGAATATTCATGTCATGGTATACCATGGTTGTCGTTGATAACATTATTCACATTTACCAGTTCGGATAATGATTTTTGGCTTGATTTACTGATTGGTCTATTGATCGACATTGTTTATATTGCATTGGCTAAAGCTAGTTGCCGTCGACGACGGCCACAATATGCACCACAAGCTGATAATACATGGATTACGGTGGATAAATTATCATTTCCATCTGGCCATGCATCACGATCTATTTATGTGGCATTAATTCTATCGAATCGATTCTCCTATCTGTCCATCATATTATGGCCATGGGCATTAGCAGTAACCATTTCACGTGTATTATATGGTCGTCATTTTATTGGCGATATATTAGCCGGCACTATTATCGGTTATTTTAACTATGTTACCAGAAATTTTCCCATACAACAATTTATCAAATGGTTTCTAGTGACCATGGTCTATGAAACCATCAATGATAATTATTAACAAAATGAAAATGTAAATGTTTTAAATGCAAACATGACATATACAATAGTAAGAAGAAAATAATTTTCAACAATTCAATGATTGATGAATTTGAATATGAAAGAATAAAAAAAAAACAAAATGCTTGTTTCTCTATCTCATCATCATCATCATCATAAATTTCTTTTAATAAATCGGAAATCGTTTGTTTTTCCATATTTTATCTCGGAAAATTTTTTTTTCTTTTTGATCGAAGTAAATAAATTGTTTATTATTATTACACACATACACGCACTATACTACGGTTGTTTCATCATCAATTTATCATTTTCACATAAACATACGTTTATGTTTTACACATAGATGGATCATCATCATCATCATCATCAACATTATTGTCCATCAAGGACAAGACAATTATGATGATTGGTGTGAATACAGTTTGTCGACAAACATACGTAGGTTGGTTGCATATACGTCAAATTATATATTGTCGATCCGTTTCCGGATTCGGAAATTATCAAAAAAAAATGAATGAATGAAATGGTTCCACTTTGTGATGGACGCTATAAAATGAGATGCTATAAAAACCGATTCCATTTAACAATAATATCTAGAATGGCCAAATTATTGCACACAAACACATCGTCCATAACAACGAATCCATCCAGCTCATCATCATTTTATTCAATTTTTTTTTTTAGTCGATCCAATTGAATTGAATTGAATTGAATTATAATAGAAAACAAAACAAAAAAATGTTATTTTTAATCAAATTTTTTTGCTTTTTGGCAATAAAATTTCCATATTTAATCATCATCGTTTCCACAGCAAGTTAGTTTGAATAAGGATTCGAATTTTTTTTAAATTTGTTTTGATATCGATTTTATTCTAATAAAATTCATTCATTTATATCTAGAATCATCAACATCATCGTCATCATCATCATCATCATCATCAATAGCATATGGTGATGTAGCAACGGCCAATAATCAAGTGATCAAATTGATTATTAAATCATATGTACATGAAATATTGGAAAATCCATTGATTCATCCGGATGAACTAAAAGATCGTTTAGCAAGGATAAAGTTGGTTAATGAATTTTGATTTGAATGAAAAAAAATGGTAAAATTTTTTTTCTTTTGTCCATCCATCCAACCAAATAATAGTGATCATATCGAAAATCATCCAGCATTACATCAACAATATCTATGGGTTGGTTCATCACCACCGCCACCAAATTATAATCCTGATTATCATATTTTGGAATACGAATCCATTATACCAAGACAATCATCATCATTTTATAATGAAACCATAGATGATGATGGCCATTCAGATGATCATCATAATCATAATCATATCATCATGATCATGATCATGATCATGATCATAATAATTATCCATTTCGATCTTCATCAACACAATCATCATCACCGAAAATGATATTGAAAGTAAAAAGAAAGAAAAATTCCGATAAACGTGAACAATTACCGTCGGAAGAAATTTGTGAAACAAAAGAAAAATGGGAACAGGTATGTGTTATAATATATATGTCATTTATGACCAATCTACTTATCTATCTTATCTATTAATTTCAGATTATCGATACACATGATCTATTCGATAATAAAGTCAAAGTGATACAAGAAAAAGATATGCAACAATTTGTATTCACATATCGTTGTGCAAAAAATCATGGCAAATGTTTAGGCATATCACCATTATATGAATCTGAATGTACCGAACGTTTTGGTTGGATGTATATGTATTATATACCGATCATTACAGCTGATAACAATGATGGCGATGGCAGTAATAATGGTATTGAACGTCAAGCACAATGGGGCTTCGTGAATGCACCACATCATTGTGCTTGTAAACTTAAACCAAAATTATTTAATCATCATCATCATCAAAATAATAATCATCAATTAGCAACAAACTTAATGATGAGCAGCAGCAGCAGCAGCAGTAAAGAAGAACCAATTGTACCGAATGATCTTTAAAAAATTATTGATGAGGATCCAAGAAACCAAAAATCAAAAAAAACAAATCAAAAAACTAAATTATCATAATTAATATATTATCGTCGTAGTAGTTTACAATATCATCATCATCATCATCATCACAAACAAACAAACAGATACGATTCGATTTTCATTAAAAAAAATTATAAAAATTCGAATTCTTTTTTCTTCATTTTTTTCGTTGTCGTTTTCGTCATCATCATCACATAATTATCATTGTGTTTCTTTAAAAAAAATAAATTTTAAATTTGATTGATAATGCTAAATAATAGAGTGAGTGTGTAAGAGAGAGATAGTGAAAAAAAACGAGAAAAAAAATCAATATTGTTCGATTCGATTATACGATTATTTAAACAATAAAATCTTTGATATGTTTATGATTTTCTTGATTAGTTACCATGATTCGATGATGTTGATGATTGAATGATGATGATGGTGGTGAAAGTAGATGATTAGAACTTGATGTAGATGATGATGATGATGATGATGATGATGATGATGTGGATGTGGATGCAATTTGATTATTCATTAATATAGATGATGATGATGATGACGATGATAATAATCGAGATGTTGATGTTACCATTAATGAATATGATGGTGGTGATGATGTCGATGTTATTAATGGTGCTTTCTCATCATCATCATCATCATCATGATCATGATCATTGTCACTGGAATTTATAATCGAATGTTGTTGACAATTACGAATTTGTTCATTAATAAGTTTACGTTCCAATAATTCTGGTTCTTCAATAACTAAAAATGTTTTAAAATTAAAATATGGTATACGAAGAACCAATGCAATCCATAACATCATCAAACAAAGACCAAAGTACATGTAGACAACTATACTGATTAGATACCATGTACGATTTTCGGTCAGACCATTTTGTCCGGGTACATAATCGCCAAGACCAACCGTAGTGATTGTAATGAAACAATAATAAAATGAATCTAAAAATGTCCATTGTGGTTCCATTTGTTTAAACAGAAAAGCCGGTAGGATTATCAATGCGGAAAATAGTACCATTGTAACCAGGAATAGATGTAGGAAACGAATTTTTAATAATGTTACTTCTTCAGTAAAATAACCGAATAATTTGATGAGCCATACTTCAATCTGTTTGATTGGACCATCACGAATCATTGAAATGATGATGGAAAGAAACAGTAATGTACATGGAATCGATATGGCACCGAAAACTATTGTTAAAATTTTTCCTTCATTCGTAATCGGTGTAACATGACCATAGCCAATTGTAGTGACAACACTTGCAACATATGTCATACTGGAACCAAATTCCCAATTTGACATTTGTATCGGTACAATCAATGTTGATGCTTTAACTCTTTGGCCTTCTTTTTGTTGTTGTTCTTCCAATTGTTGTTGTTGTTCGGTTGGATATGATTTCAATGATGGTTGTTGCTGTTTTCTTTCAGTTACAATTATTTCTTCAATGACATCATCATTGCTGTCATCGGTTCGTTTATCAATGACAATCACTTTTGAAACATTTTTATTTCCAGCTAACATTTTATCCGTTTCATCACCATCGGAATCGGCAACTGTCATCGTTGTCATCATCATTGAATCAACTAGATCATTAAGCAATGCCAAATTTACACCTTTATCATATGTAATGATGACACTTTTGATAAATTGTTTCAATTCTTTGGCTATTTCGCAAATGAAAAGAAAAAAAATCAATCAATCGTTAGTATTAAGAATGCAAAAAATTATTTATTACGGCAATAAAAAAAAAGAACTTACAATCGACACATTGATTCTGTTCAAGAAACAATTGTTGTTTATTCATAATTTGATCACGAAGACGTTGTTCTGCTTTCGATTCGAATGCCATGAATAATGATGCACCCAATAGAATGATTGTTATATAAATGACAAAGAAGAAGATCAATGTAATTAGATGTGGATATTTTTCTTTTAATTTATATTCACAATTTATAATCGATACAGAACGATTCTGATACAATGTTGTTGGATGGCCTACAATATCAATTTTTTCCAATTGTTGTTGATGTTGTTGATATTGTGATTGTTGTTGATTATCAACAAATGTATTTGGTCTACCATCAACATCGTCAACATCGTCATCAATATCAACATCTTTTGGAAAGAAACTGAATGGATAGAATGTATATGGATCTTGATGATATGATGCCTGATGAAATATTTGATTTTGATGATGATGATGACGATGGTCATCCGATTGATTCGAGGATGACTGATTCACTGGTTGTTGTTGTTGTTGTTGTTGTGGTGGTGGATGATTGTAGTACATTTTTGGAATCAAATTTAAATGTTGAATACACTGTCGACTTCAATAATTAGCTTTTTGATTAATGAAATTGGTAAATTGAAAGAGGATTTTCGAATATGAAAGAAAAAAAAACGCTTTATCAAATAACCGATTGATGGAAATAATTTGTTTGTTGATTATTATTGATGTGGTTTGAAATCATCAATGGATTGATATTATTATTCACACTACGATTATGTTGATCATTATCGATCATAACAAGTCCAGCTGATTTTTGATGATCGTCGTGGTCGTCGTCAAGAGAATACAATATATTGTTCAAGTATTGAATCACAAATCTTTTATCCATGATGTTCATTTACGGCAACATTTATGTAATTAATGAATAGAAATAAAAGAATAATAATAAAATTTCAATCAATAATTGATGAAACATTCGTGGTAGATCAGTGAATTTCGAAATAGAAAAAAAAAATTCAATGGAAAAAATACAATATCGCTAGTTTATAAGGAGATGAAAGAGAGAGAGAGAGAGAGAGAGAGAGACATGAGGTGTCAACAACAAATCAATCAATCAAATAAATCGTAAATGATTCGATTTTGTTTGGTCTTTAAATAATCAAAAAAGAAATAATAATCTGTATATATATAATCATCATCATGTATAGCAACCAGATTTTTTTTTCTGTTTTATCATCATAGTTGATAATGATCGACAATGACAACAAACAAACAAACAAACTTTGAACCTAATCATCAATCAATTCGGTTTTTTTTTATTCACGATGGTGTAAAAGTATTCTCAAATTATCAGACTTTGATTTTTTCAAACAAAAAAAAAGAAAATATTATCATACCGTTATTGTCATCATTAATATTTCGATGTCATCAAATAATAACATTGCCATTTTTTTTCATCTGGATCTCGTTGGTTTCGATATATATTGTTATTATATCACGATATACACACACACACAAACGCATAGAGAGATAATGAAACAACAAAGTCCAATTTGAATCAAATCGAATGAAAGTGTTAATAAAATCGAAAATCGATTGAATTTTTTTTTTCTGTGGTTCTGAAGCCAAATTTCAAATGATGGTGATTTTTTGATTTGTTCGATGATCAAACGAATCATTCGATCTGCTTGAATCATTAGCGCCCTCACATGTTTGCAATTTGAATATGATGACACACACACACACACACACAAACATTCGATTTGGAAATTTTTATCGATTAACAATGACGATACACATCATCGGTTAAAATTTTTTTTTTTTTGTTTTTGAAATTGAATTGAAAATGAAAAAAAAAATCAATCAATCAATCAAACACTAATCAATCAATTTCTACATCTCCGTTCGTATGGGTTTGTTTTGTTTTGTTTTCTTTTTGATCGTTGAAGAAAAAAAAATTCCATTCATAATCATTCTATATTGTCGTAATTGATACTTTGAACCAATCAAATCAAAAATTTCTAAATGATCCCATTTGCTAGTGGTAAATTTTTTGTTGTTGTTGTTGATGATGATTTAATCTAAATTTAGCGATTATTGTCGTTGAAAATGATAATTATATCATTTTTATTGCACCGGATATTGATGGAAAACTTTCCTGGTAGAAAAAAAAATCAACATATTATCTAGAGGAAATTTCTTTTATCGAATAAAATATTAAAAAGTATTTTTATTTTCAATTTTCGCTGTGAAAAAAAACAAGATTTTCTATTCTCGACCTTTAAAAAAAACATGGCATAGCACATCAAACAATTTGATATTGTAGAGCAATTTTATCAAACTCTCGTTGTTTATGTTCATAATCATCATAAAATGTTTGATCCAATGATTGTCGATCACTTAATTGATTAATATAACGATTGATCATTTCATTTGATTTACCATTAATATTGGCCAATAACATTTGATTGATGATTGCTTCCGTATAATTGGAATCTTTTTCAATAGTTTCCGTAATTAATGGTTCAGCTTCTTCCCAACGATTCTGACAAATCATAGCAACCGCTTGGCCATTCAATAGTAATGGTGTTGGACCAAATTTATCTTTCAATTCTTGATAGATAAAATAAGCATCCTGTAATTTTTCACCACCATAATAAAGATTAATCCATGCCAATGCTAATTGTGATAGTGTATGATATTCATCTTTTTGACACATTCGTTTATGTTCTTTACGAGCTAGATCCAAACGATCCAAATGCAATAATGCCTGTACTGATGTGGCCATACTGATCATATAATTTGAATAGAATTCTTATTACAAAAAAAATAAGAATCACAATACTTACCATTCAATATCACCGGAATTGTTTAACATTTTCAATACATTATCATAATTTCGTTCATGAAAATAGATGGCTGCCGCACAAATTGATGAATAACAATCATTCATGTACAAGGTTTGATTGGCATCCAATTCGGCTAGAATATCATCAACCGACGACGATGATGATGATGATAAATATCTTGCATATAAACGTACCGCTTTCAATGGTTGTGGTGATGAATTATTAATTTCACTAAGAACTACATTGAATTTTTTCTGTGCAATGTATGCCCGATACATGAATACATCACGTTCCAATTTTTGTTCATCGGTTGTTGTCTGTTGGAAAGATTTTTGTTGATGAAAAAAAATTGAGCGAACAACAAAAAAAGAGAAAACCTTTTTTTTACCTTGACTTTTGCTGCTTCATTCAAACATTGTTGCCAATTACCGAGATGAAAAGAATTTTTCAAATCGAAAAGATTATCCGGTCCTGTTGACATGGTTTTTGTTTTTTTTTTTTTTATTTCAAATGGTCCCAATGAAAAAAAAAATGCAATTAAAATCCAAATGCCAGCTCACACATAACATATCGATACTATCGATAAGTTGTTCATCACATCACATTTAATTAAAATCCAATTCAAATTGGTGAAAATATTTTTTTGTTTTATTCTTTTTTTTAAGAAAAATTATATTTACATACGATTAAAAAAAACCTACAAAAAAATTAATAATTGAAAGCAATTTCGAAAACCTGTTCATAATGGCTAACAAAATGAACGGTAAGTCCATCCTGAATATAGGCAGGTAAATCGGCATAATCTTTTCGATTATCATCAGGCAAAATGATTGTTTGTACACCGACACGTTTAGCAGCAATAACTTTCTCTTTGATACCACCAACGGCCAAAATTTTACCAGTCAATGAAATTTCACCAGTCATAGCTAAATTTGGTCGAACTGGTTTATCCAATGCCAATGATAATAATGCAGTGACCATTGTACAACCGGCACTTGGACCATCTTTTGGTGTTGCACCTTCCGGTACATGTAAATGAATATGTGCTCGTTGTAGAAATTCTGCTGATGGTTCTGGTCGTTTCAACATGAATGATTTGGCAAACGTATAGGCAATGTTGGCACTTTCTTTCATCACATCACCCAAATGTCCGGTCAATACGAATGAACCTTGTTGTGGAGGAGTGGATTTATCACCGGTTGTCGTTGATACATCATTGGTGGTGGTATCCAATTTTCGATGAACAGTTGTTTCAATATATAATGTAGATCCACCATGTGATGTCCATGCTAAACCCATTACAACACCGGGTGGTGTTTCATCATACATTCGATCTTTAACGAATATTGGTTTGCCAACAAAATCAGGTAGATTTGTTTCTTCAACCATTACATTTTCACATTCTTTATTAACAATTTTATATGCTGATTTTCGCATAATCTATGTATGTTTGTCATAAAAAAATTTATCAAAATCAAATTCGATATAAAAAAAAACAAAATCAATTTACAAACCTTTTCAATATGTTTCTGTAGATTACGAACACCTGATTCACGACAATAAGAACGTATAAGAACATTGATGGCATTCTTGGCAATATCCACTTTTTCCGATGATAATCCCGATTCTTTCTGTGCCAATGGAATGAGATATCGCTGGAGAAAAAAAATGTTTTTTTTTAGTAAAAATTCTACAATGCAACAAACAAAATACCTCTGCAATTTGTAGTTTTTCTTCGGCAACATAACCAGACACTTCAATCAATTCCATACGATCACGTAGTGGTTCGGGAATAGTATCCAATACATTTGCCGTACAAATAAACAAGATTTTCGACAAATCAATATTAACATCAAGGTAATGGTCAAGGAAATTCTTATTCTGTTCCGGATCCAGTAATTCCAACAACGCTGCAGATGGATCACCTTGATATCCACGACCAATTTTATCCACTTCATCGATCAATACGAGTGGATTTTCGGTTTTTGTTTTTTTCAAACATTGAATAATTTTTCCAGGCATAGCACCAACATATGTACGTCGATGGCCTTTAATTTCGGCTACATCGGTCATACCACCAACACTGAAACGAAAATATTCACGATTCAATGCACGTGCTATTGATCGTGCAATACTTGTTTTACCAACACCAGGTGGTCCATGAAAACATAGAATTTTACCCTGTGTATGGCCTTTTAATTGACTGACGGCAATAAATTCCAGTATTCGTTTCTTCACTTCTTCCATACCATAATGATCTTCATCCAATACTTGTGTAGCACGTTTTAGATCTAAATTTTCTTCACTACTAATACCCCATGGAATCGATGTCAACCAATCCAGATAATTACGTGTGACACTAAATTCAGATGAATGATTATCCAATAATGATAATTTATTCAGCTCTTCTTCAATCACATCCATTACCGGTTGTGGTACAAGTAAATCTTTGATTTTATTACGAAATTTCTCCACAATTGCATCTTTATCATCTTTCTCCAGGCCCAATTCTTTTTTAATGATTTTCAATTGTTCATTCAGCATATATTTTCGATGTTGTTGTTTGACTTTTTCTTCCACTTCTTTACTGATTTTTTGTTGCAATTTACTAACTTCATATTCTTTTTTCAACAATGATAACGAAAGATAAAGACGTTTCGGTATGTTGATCTCTTCCAGGATCTGTTGCAGTTCATGTGAATCGGCGCCAGATAAAGTGCCACCAAGATCTGAAAGAAATATTGGATTATCAACAATTTTCTGTCCTGAATGCATTAGTTGTAAGATTGGTTCACGATACAATGAATTCAATGAAACAATATCACGAATTGTTTTGACAATTTCCTGTGTTAATGCTTTGATTTCTTGATTCTCAACAAATTCTTCGTGTGTAACGTTTTCCACTTCCACCATTAGAACGGGTTTAGGTTTCGCTACAATCACAGGTTCACTATCAGATGGCTGTTGTTGAGCATTTGCATTCGGATCGGCATCCATTTCAGGTCCATTATTATTATTCTCATCATTCGATGACACCGATTGAGCAGCTGATGCACTACGACGAACACGTTTTTTTCGCATCATTGAACCATTTTTTCTTGGCTGTTGTGATTCTTCTTGATCATTTTCATCGATTTGTTTCATTATTCGTATTCGACGATGTGCCATAACAATCACACGTATTCGATCACCAAGATCTTGTAGTTCATGAATCTGAACAAATGTGCCCACTGGATAGATGTCATCCAAAGAGCTAACAACTTCGGCCATTTCATTATCATTTCGTTTCATGAATATACCGGCATATGGTTGCCGTAGATCAACTTTACGTTTAATCAATTGTATTAGATTCGGATCAGTCAATTCGATTAGTTTGACAAATTTTGGAAAAACTGGATTACGATTAATAGCAATAACAGGTAGCATTGGAAAATAATCAGGTATGTTTACCGGTGATAATGCTGATGTTGATGGATCGCCCGGTGTTGGTGGTGTTGGATATGCTGCAGATATCGTTTCCGGATCTTCATCATCATTATTATTGCCCGATGATGATGAAAGAAATCGATATTGATTCAATAGAAAATGATTTGATGATGATTGCAGTGACAATAATCTTCCATGATGATGACAATTATTATTGTTTTTGATTAATGATCGCGCAATTAATGCAAATGATGATCGAATTGATTTTTCACAATAAATTTTACGGATAATTGCAGATGAATGTTGTTGTCGAGGTACAATTGAACCAAATAACAATGATGAATGACATAATTGTTGTTGTTGTTGTTGGCGTAACCAAAATAGTCGACGTAACAATAATGAACTCATTTTTTTCACGAAATAATCGGATAATCGATTTATTTGATAATAATCGATTTCCTATCTTTTTTTCACTTGATTATAATTATCGATAAAGACAATTAAAATGAAAATTTTTTTTTCGAAATGAAATATTTCAAGCATAAAACATGTGTGAGTGTGTGTGTGTGTGTGCGTGTCATGTGATTGACAATAGATTCCGTTCATAGATGAGATGACCGGAGAAAAAAAAATTCTGCAAAATTCTATGCAATTTCATTTATACAAATTAAAATTCTGTCGTCCTTCACTTTTTTCAGGAACAAACAAATTTTTTCCAAAATCAATATTTACTCAAAAAAAAAAAAAAACAATTTGCCCTGTTTTATGAAATATTCATTCATATCAATAATTTTATTCAAAACACACAAGAATTTTTTCTCCAGAATTTTGCAATGTAAAAAATTATTTAGAAAATTCGTGTCATCATCATCACATCATATTTTTTTTTATCTAACCAATTGTTCGACCGGTTAGTAATTTAAATATGATCATTGGATATGCAGCCCATGCACCGACAAGCATACCAATGGTCCAATCAAATATCGAATTGCCGATACGAAATAGAAGATTTTTTTGTTCATCACGAATCGGCTGTACACCACGACGACGTACAACACCATTGATTACTGATTGTGATGCCACTTTACAATCATAAGCTAAACCAAACAAACGATTCAATTCAATAAACATACCAGGTGGATTGAATAATTCCCATTGTGAACGTTCATTAATACGAAAATCGAATGGAAAAACATGATGATAATTATGGATACCTTCACCAAAGGAAATATAATTGACAAAACGATGATCAGCTGGCCGTATACGAAAATCATATGGACGATAACCGAAAAAATGTGCCAACGAATTAACGGTGAATAGATGATGTAGAACGATCACGATACGTATAACAACAACTAAACCGAATGATATCCATGGATCTTCATTCCAACAATAAATCGGTATCAACCCGGGTATCATGATGCCGAACACGAGGAATATTGGTAGATAATATTTATGTTGAAGATAAACAAGACGTTCATTATAAAGATCGGTAAAATCCAATTGTCTACCACCATCAATGACGGCGTCGGTTTTTTTCACCAACCACCAACCAATATGTGAATAGAATAGGCCACGTGTTGGATTTTTTGGATCACCAGCCGTATCCGAATATTTATGATGTGTACGATGATCACGTGCATACGATAATGCTGAACCATTCATGGTCATTGCCTGGAAAATTAATAGCCATATTTTTAATGGCCATCTGGCTTTATATGCACGATGTGACCAAAGACGATGTGAACCAGCCGATGTACCAATGCCGGACATCATACCGATTGCGACGGCTAAATAAACGGTTTGAAGTTTAAAACTATAAATACAAGCATAAACATAGAAACCAATGGCAGCAATATGCCATATGCCCAATAATAGAATATTTTGCCATTTCAATTGTTGTTTACGCCAATCAAATTCATCCGGATCTACTGTGGCCACTGCAGATATCACATCTTTTTCCGCCACCAAATTATCATCCGTATCGGTTATAGTGGATTTCAATTCCGTTCTGGTGAAACCCATGATGGTTGATGAATTCTTGTTTGTTTGTTGTTGTTGTTGTTGCTGCTGCTGTCCTTTAAATTTGAATACGAATTTGAAAACGAAATATGTTGCTTGAATATGATGATGATGAAAAAAATAATGATTTCAAATTCAAAATTTTTTGTTTTCCATAAACAAAATAAACTTTCTCTTTGGCCAGAAAACTTTGTTTTTTTTCTCTCTCTCATTTCCATCCATTTATTTGATATATGTCGACGATTGTTGTTGTTAATTTGCCATTATTTATGTATCAGTCTTTTTTTTCCGACCCGGTTTCTCGTTTCTCTTCCTATTTTTCGTTTCAATTTCATCATTTTCATATCCAATGGTTTTTCCCCAAATATTCATTATTGATTCACGGAATTTCTGTTTTTTTCTTCATCATCAATTCCCATATGAATGGATATTCTAAGGAATTTATCCGAATTTTTCAATTAAGAAAAAAAAACAAAATCAACAACAAATCAACGATAACATGAATCCAAAATAAAGGGTTAAAATAGCAACCGAAACTTTTGTGGTTATCAATCAAAGATGGGAAAATCCAAATCGATAATTTTTTTTGCCTAAATTGGAAATTTTATGTACATTTTTTTTTGTTTTTTGCTCTTTCTGTATGATGATGATGGTGAAACGTTCAACGACCTAGTTAATTTTTCATTTCATTTCATTTCCATCATTATCTATTTATACCTGGGCCACAATATATTATATTAATCATGATTACCGAACCACAAGGTATGATATGATTCGAATCGTTTGATTTGTGTTTCAATTGACTTTTGTTTTTCTTTTTTTTTCTTTTAATTTCTCTTTTCTATTTTGCAAAGGAAAAAAAAGGAAATTTTATCAGGATGCGAAACATTTTTTCAGCGCCGACAAAAAAAAAAAAAAAGAACCAAGACGAAAAACAAGTTTTTTGAGTCGTAAATCTTAGTGCTGAAGAAAAATCTAAAATTTTCGAAGATTCGTTCAATCGAAAAATTGATGATAACAATCACAACAACAACGACGACGACGACGAAGACGACCTGTTATCATCACAGATTGATCATTGGTGCACGTTAATGATTTTGTTCTAAATCACGAAAAAAAACAACAAATAAATAAATATTGAACTTAAATTAATCTTGAAATGACTACTAAACTAATCGAAATGGTAAATTAAAAATCCAGGTGATAATAATTAGATCAAAGGTCAGAGATATCAAAAAAAAACGCATAAAAATGATGATTGAATTTTTCAACTTTTTTCCGTTCTCTCTCTCTGTCTCTGCTTTCTAAATGGGGAAAAAACTTTTTTTTTTCATTTCACACCATTCATTCAATCATAAATGATTAGAAATTATGGTGTGAATAGAGCCAATTTTTTTTTGTTTTTGAAGAATTTGAAATGTTCCAGATGTGTGTGTGTGTGTGTGTGTGTGTCTGTGAAACATGATAATCATCATTGAATGAACAAACAGACAAACAACCGTGGAACTGGAACAATGAAAGAAATCTGTCGTAATTTGAGACAAAAAAAAATGACATATGAAACAATGATTCAATGATTTGAATTTTTTTCCCTCACACACACACACACACACAGAGAGAATATTCTTAGTCGGACTTTTAGTTTCTGGTTACTGAAACAAATTATGTAATTTTTTCAAGTGCAATAAAATTTCAGCAAATACAAAACACCAAAACAAAACGAACAGAATGGCTATATAAAAGTTTTCTTGTGTGTGTGTGTGTTTTTAATAACATGGTGATAAAAAAGAATTTTTCTTCATTTTTTTATTTTCGAAATAAAACATTAACTATATTGAATTGGATGTAATTCTCTGCGACTGATCTTTGTGCATATTCATATTGCATGCTGGACATTGTTGTTAATGACGACAATTCTGTTGAAATTCTGGTCGTTGTGGTGATGGTAATGGTGAGTAATGAAGGGTGAGCCACTTTCGTGATTCAATTGGCAATTTTGTATTTTGATAGTGAAAAAAAACGCTAATTTCATTCTATATATATAAAGAAATGAGTGAATGGAAAAGATTAGAGAATCTATTCATTCATTTGCGACGTCGTAAATTTTAGAGACAATTTTTTTTTTCGGTTTCAATGCCAAGCGCGTGAGCACGAACAATTCTGGATTCTGGTGTAGCTCTAAAATCCAAAAACGCAAAATATATGTGTATGTTTGGGGGGAATGGAAAACGGACGTCATTCATCGTTTTTATGAGCAAAAAAATGAGGAATGATGAAAAAAAAATAAATCCTCCATTCTCCACAGTTGATATCCCCATTTTGTGAATCAAATTCTTATTGTGAACACAAAAAAAAATTATAATCTTAAACAACAACAACAACAACAAATAAGAATTTGAATGCCAAACACAAACACACACCCAACAAAATTCTCCAAAAAAAAAACAATAATACGGAATTGAATCGAATTTTCCAGTAACAAAAAAAAAAACGAAAACAAATCGACGAGCAGCTGTTATCAAAACAACATCGATATTGCAGCTAAAAACTGTCAAATGATCATATATGAAATCTGGCAATAATTTTTCTGATTTGTGTGTGTGTGTTTGTGAAAAGGATGTTTTTTTGTTGTTGCAGAAAAATTTATTGAATGAAATATCGTCGCCATGATCTGAATTTATTTTAATTTTTGTTTTTGTTTTGTTTCTTAAAAAAAATCATCAAAAAAAACGATACAAACACCCCCCACACACACACACAAACAATGTATCCGTTTCAACAACAACAACAACAACAGCAACCATCGAATCTTTTGATGAATACAATTGATCATCATCATTCATCATGGAAAAAATCATTATTACTTGATCATAATCATAATGATCCAATTGATAATGCTGGTATGTAAAGTAGTTAGAAATCTCAAATTTGATTTGATTTGATTTTGAAAAATTCCAATTTTCAAAAGATTCAACCGGATCAATATTGAATCTATCGGATCTAAGCGAATCGAATGCTGCATTCATTGGCACTGTTTGTCTTGCTAGTGGTTTCGTTCTGTTGGTATTATTTGCATCAATCTATTATTATCGTAAACGTAGCTTGTATCATGATTTCACTATTACTGGATCAACTTCGATGAAATCAGATAATAATAATAATAAGATATTGTTATTGAAAAAAAATTTACAATTTAACGAAGAAAAACCATATGTTGTACGGCAAAAAACACCGGCTGTACGTAGTCCAAGTTCATCACAGGTTAATCCATTCAATAAGAAAAGTCCCAGCCCAACTGGTGGATTATCACGTAAGTATTCGGTGATGATCGATCGAATGTTTGTGATTGATTCAATTCAATATTTTTTTTTATTCCATGATAGCAAATGATAATGAAATGAAAAATGTAAATCGAAATGTTGATCTCGAATCTGGTCGTAATAGCCAAAATAATTCAAAACATTGTTCACCGATTGCTGAAGAACAACAGCCGATAAAAACAACAACAACAACCACAACAGGTGATGAATTCGATTGAAAATTTGAAAAAAAATTCAATGGCTACTGAATCATCATCACGATCATCATCGGTGGATATTACAATTCCATCACAAACAACAACACAATTGGCAAACAACAATAATTCAACGAATGTGGCTAAAAATTTGGGAAAATTACATTTTAAATTGAAATATAGTTATGAAAAACGTGCACTTTGTTTGGCCATCAATCGTTGTACGGATCTACAAGCAAAAGATGCTGCAAGTACATTAGATCCATATGTGAAAATACAATTGTTACCGGAAAAACAACATAAAGCTAAAACACGTGTATTGCGTAAATCATTGAATCCAATCTATAATGAAGAATTCACATTCTATGGTATTACATCAAATCTGCTGGAAATGTTGGCCATTCATTTTGTCATATTGAATTTTGATCGATTCTCAAGAGATGAAATTCTCGGTGAAGTTGTTTGTCGTTTAAATCAATTTGAATTTGATTCATTGGAAAAACAGCTAACATTATGTCGAGATATTGTACCGCTTGGTAATAAGGTAATAATTATCTGATTTATTCTAATCATGAATTTTTTTTTCACCATTTCCATTTAATCTAATCTTTTGTTTATCATTTCAATTGCTATCCAAAATACAAACAAACACACTGTGAATCTAAATCGAAATCAAAAAGCTCAAGATACAGGATCTAGGTGAATTATTGGTATCACTTTGTTATCAGCCGATCGCTAACCGTTTGACTGTTGTCATATTGAAAGCAAGAAATTTACCCAAAATGGATCTAACCGGATTGTGTGGTACGTTTGTTTTGCTTGTTTAAATGTTTATTTTCATGATTGAAATTGATGATTATTATTTCATTCAAAGATCCATATGTGAAGATTTATGTATTTCATAATGGTGAACGTATTTCGAAAAAACGTACACACATTAAACGTCGTACATTATCGCCGGTATTTAATGAAAGTTTCGTTTTCGATATACCAGCCGATGAAGGTTTGGATAATATTCATTTACAATTCATGATCTATGATCATGATCGTGTTACACGTAATGAATTGATTGGTAAAGTGGAAATTGGTTCAAAAACCGGCATACCGGCAACGGAAAAACATTGGCATGAAGTGATCAAATCACCGCGTAGACAGATTGCTGAATGGCATAAACTACGTGAAGTTACATCAACAACAATGGCTACAAACAATTGAAAATTCACAGAAACTCAAACAGAAAACTTGATATTCTATGTTTTTTTTTGTTGTTGTTCTCTCAACAATGAATTTCTATTCAATTCCTGATTCTTGATTCTTAGCATTTAAATATAAGACGATTGACAACAAACAAACAGATGAACGAATTCTTTGATCAAAACAAAAACAAAAACAAACGAATTACTTGAACACATACACACACACACACACACACAAACCGCATAACCTACATTTTTCTTTCTCTCGGTCGAACTTAACCATATCTCTCTTTAGATTCTTTTTTTCATTTATAGAATCATCATCATCATCATCTCATGTTGCTCTCATATTTCAAAATTTAAATTTTGTGGAACATGAATTTTTCTTTAAACAAAAATCAGAACCAAAAAAAAAAAAAGAATGAAATAATGAGATTCGAATTTTTGCTTCCTTTTCTTTTGATTTTAACCATTTCCCGAAACAATAAAAACGTTGTTGTTTTGATGAATTTAAGAATTTAAATTTTAATAAAATTCACCTATCAATGAATCGATGAATTGAATTTTTTTTTGTTTCATGCCTGAAGGCGCCATCTATTAATATTTAAAATTAACATTGTCATAAACAAAAAAAAAAAAATTCGAATTTTACAATTGAAAAAATTTCCCGATAAGTCATTAATAGATTGATTGATTGATTGATTAGCAACCAACGGATCCGATATAACAATGACAAATGAATCATCAAAATAACAAAAAAAAAAAACATTTATCACGTATGTACTTTTTTTCCATTACCAAATAGATTGATTTGTAATTTTTTTTGTTGCTCCTTATCTTTTTCATAACTAGGCTAGACGAGAAAAAAAACATATTTGCCAATGCGCTTGAATTTATGCCTTAATCCATTTGGATAGTCGTCAACATACAAATATCATCTGTTGACAAGAGGTTTTATTTTCTCTTTCTTCTCATTATTAGTCATTGTGATGATAAAAATTCCTGGTTGTCGGTTCACCTGACATTTATCATCATTTAAAATCAAAAAACAAACAACCAATTGATCAATCAAGCAATCCAAAAGAGAATTTAAAAATTTCAACAACAAAAAAAACAATTGGGGCGTTGGTCGTTATTATTTTATTTGAATCTTAATGGCAATTAAAAATCGGAAATCATAAAAAAAAACTTTCCAAATCATCCAAAAAATAATGAAAAAAATGACTAATTGCATTTTAAACATGCAACAACGACAGGATCTGTTTTTGATCTTAATAACAAGGACCATAATGATGATGATGATTACAGCATTTTATTATGGAATAAACAACAAAAAAAGACCGAACCACAATAAACTTGTTTGCTGGTTTTCAAATGATTTCAAATTTTTTTTTTTGGCCAGAAAAACAAAATTCCCGGAACTAGAAAGAAAAAATTAGAATGAAATTTGTCAATCCATCCGTCCATTCATCCGTCGATTGACAAAAATGTATCAAAAGAACATACGACACACTTGAAACAATGATTGTATCGAACAATTAATCAATCAATCAAACAAACATTAAATAAATTTTGTAAACAGTCAATTTTATTAAACACCCACACATATATTGATAATCATACTGGATTATTGAATTTTCTGATTATAAAAAAATAATTTATAAATGATTCATTAATTAATTAATCAATCAATCTATGGAATAATTTTGAAAATTTGATTATAATCAAACCATAAATGTTGTGAACAACATCATTATCGATGTGAAAAAGATTGATGTATATGATGAAACCATTGTTGATAATGATCCATTTGGTTTCGATGTCGTTGTCGGTGCCGTGGTTGTCGTGGTTGTCGTTTCATTTGTTCCATCCGGTGCTTGCATTGATAATTGAATCAAAAACAGCGAATAAATAATCATCATACAGATGATCATTCGATACAAAGTTGTAGTGATAGTGGTGGCCATTATATCATATGAATATGGTAACGTAACAGACAGGATCAAAAAAAAAAAAAAAAAATGAAAATTTTCAACAAATTTTTTTTTCGTTCTAACCAAACCAATCAATCAAACCAATTGTATCGAGTTTTTATAACCAGAAAAAAAAAAATAAAATTTTCCATCAACTTTATCATCATCATCATTGCCATCGTCGTCGTCGTCGTCGTAGTAGTAGTTGTTGCTGCTGCTGTTATTGGCTAACAAAAAAAAAAAAAAAAATGTCAAACAAACAAAAGAAATTACGTGTGTATCCATGACATTTTTTTTTCTGAAATCAATAAATTGTTAAATATTTTAAATTATTTCTTTTTTTTTGATATCAATCAATCATCGTTATACCACGCTTGGAATTTTTTTTTTTTGTTGATCTCATTGTTTCGTTTTTGTTTTTTGTTTGTTTGTTCTGGATTTCAAAATTTTGCCATTACTGGTGATTACACTAATCTGAGATGAGTTCATCTTTTTGATTACCGATTTTTTTTGCATTGTTATTTGGAATGTTTTTGATTAGTTTATTGATCGATTGATTGATTAATCATAATAAATCATTGGAAAAAAATTTTCATTTATTTATTGATTTTATATGATGAAAATATTTGGTATTTTTTTTTTTTTAATTAGCTCATCAATACATTGATCATTATAATGAATATGGTGGTTATCGTCAAGGTTGATAATGATGATGTTTGAATTGATTTGGATCCATTCGGTTTTGGTGTCGTTGGTTCTGGTGTTGATTGAGTTGAATTGGTCGTTGTCGTCGATTCTGGTGTTGATTGAGTTGTCTTGACCGTTGTCGTTGGTTCTGGTGTTGATTGAGTTGTCTTGACCGTTGTCGTTGGTTCTGGTGTTGATTGAGTTGTCTTGACCGTTGTCGTTGGTTCTGGTGTTGATTGAGTTGTCTTGACCGTTGTCGTTGGTTCTGGTGTTGATTGAGTTGTCTTGACCGTTGTCGTTGGTTCTGGTGTTGATTGAGTTGTCTTGATTCGGATGTCTTGTCCGTTGTCGTTGGTTTCTTGACCGTTGATTGAGTTGATTGAGTTGTCTTGACCGTTGTCGTTGGTTTTGGTGTTGATTGAGTTGTCTTGACCGTTGTCGTTGGTTTTGGTGTTGATTGAGTTGTACTGGTCAAATTCGTATCCCGATTAATCGATGATTCGAGATCATCATCAATTTGATTATCATTATCATCGATTGGTAATAAAGAAACGTGTCCAATCATACAAAATATGATTAAATTAATCACAACAATAATCATTGACATTTTCATATTAGCGGCCATCATTTTGTATATAGCGAAAAATAATTTTGGTGAATAATGCAATTTACCAAATAAATGAGAAGACAAATATCCATCGTTTTGTATTTATATTAAAAGAATCGATAATCGTGTCGTGCCAAAAAAACTCTAAAACATCTCATCTACATTGATAATAATGAGAGAATCAGAAAAAAAATTCCAAATCTTAAGTATATCACTATGAAACCAACGCTGATATATGCTGGTGATTAATCTAATCTAACTCTTTTTTTAATTGAACTCATCTTTTTGATTACAGATTTTTTTCATTGTTATTTGGAATGTTTTCGATTAGTTTATTGATCGATTGATTGATTAATCATAATAAATCATTGGAAAAAAATAAAAAAAATTTCATTTATTTATTGTTTTAATATGATATGATGAAAATATTTAGTATTTTTTTTTTTTTTATTAGCTCATCAATACATTGACCATTATAATGAATATGGTGGTTATCATCAAGGTTGATAATGATGATGTTTGAATCGATTTTGATCCGTTCGGTTTTGGTGTCGTTGTCGTTGGTGTCGATTCGGATGTATTGTCAGTTGTGGTTGGCGTTGATTCGGATGTCTTGTCCGTTGTCGTTGGTGTCGATTCGGATGTTTTGTCCGTTGTCGTTGGTGTCGATTCGGATGTTTTGTCCGTTGTCGTTGGTGTCGATTCGGATGTTTTGTCCGTTGTCGTTGGTGTCGATTCGGATGTCTTGTCCGTTGTCGTTGGTGTCGATTCGGATGTTTTGTCTTGTCTGTTGTCGTTTTGTCTGATGTCTGTGTGTCGATTTGTTCTTGTCCGTTGTCGTTGATTCGGATGTCTTGTCTGTTGTCGTTGATTCTTTTGGATGTCGGATGTCTTGTCGTTGTCGTTGATTCGATTCGGATGTCTTGTCCGTTGTCGTTGTCGATTCGGTGTCTTGTCTGTTGTCGTTGATTGTCTTGTCGTTGTCGTTGTCGTTCAGGTGTCTTGTCCGTTGTCGATTGTGTTTTGTCCGTTGTCGTTGGTGTCGATTCGGATGTCTTGTCCGTTGTCGTTGGTGTCGATTCGGATGTTTTGTCCGTTGTCGTTGGTGTCGATTCGGATGTTTTGTCCGTTGTCGTTGATTCGGGTGTCTTTTCCGTTGTCGTTGATTCGGATGTTTTGTCCGTTGTCGTTGGTGTCGATTCGGATGTCTTGTCCGTTGTCGTTGTCGATTCGGATGTTTTGTCCGTTGTCGTTGATTCGGATGTCTTGTCCGTTGTCGTTGATTCGGGTGTCTTGTCCGTTGTCGTTGATTCGGGTGTCTTGTCCGTTGTCGTTGATTCGGGTGTCTTGTCCGTTGTCGTTGATTCGATTCGGGTGTCTTGTCCGTTGTCGGATCTTGTTGTCGTTGGTGTCGATTCGGATGTTTTGTCCGTTGTCGTTGATTCGGGTGTCTTTTCCGTTGTCGTTGATTCGGGAGTCTTTTCCGTTGTCGTTGTCGTTGATTCGGGAGTCTTTTCCGTTGTCGTTGTCGTTGATTCGGGAGTGTCCTTTCCGTTGTCGTTGTCGTTGATTCGGGAGTCTTTTCCGTTGTCGTTGTCGTTGATTCGATTTGTCTTTTCCGTTGATTGTCGTTTCGTTGTCGTCGTTGATTCGGAGTGTTTTCCGTTGTCGTTGATTCGTTGTCGTTGTCGGAGTGTCTTTCCGTTGTCGTTGATTCGGTTGTCGTTGATTCGGGAGTCTTTTCCGTTGTCGTTGTCGTTGATTCAGGAGTCTTTTTTGTTGTAGTTGTCGTTGATTCGGAAGCCTTGTCCGCTGCGTTCAAATTTTCATCCCGATTAAACGATGATTCGCGATCATCAATTTGATTATCATTATCATCGATTGGTAATGAAGAAACGTGTCCAATCATACAAAATATGATTAAATTTATCACAACAATAATCATTGGTATTTTCAGGTAAGAGGCCATCATCATTTTGTATATAGAGAGAAATAATTTTGGTGAATAATGCAATTTACCAAATGAATGAGAAGACAAATATCCATCGTTTTGTATTTATATTAAAATGATTGATAATCAAGTCTCCCAAAAAAAAAGCCCAGAACATCACATCTATATTATTAATATTGAGGCAATTAGAAAAAAAAATTCCAAATAAGTATATCACTATGATACCAATGAAACATATAACGTTAATCCATCATCATCATCGTCAAAGAATTTTCATAAAAAAAAGACGTTAAAAAATTGGTAATTTTTTTTTATGACCATTTATTATTATTTACACCTAACTCTAAAAAGAATAATGTCATCCTACTATACTATTTAAATTATATTGATTGATATTGCAACAGGATAAAGGATAAACAAGAAATAACACACAGTGGTTTTAATAACATGCTCACAATCCATAAATATATTGAAGATATAGAAAGAATATATATGACCATTATATATTATTTTAAATCAATTGGTACTATTGTTATTGCCTCGACATAAACACTTACCACAATTTTTCTTCTAGTGTCGCCATCAAGATGATGATGATTATTATCATTAATGATATCAAGAATTTATAATTGTCGGTTGATTTCAAGGCCAACATCAAATTGATTGCAATACAATTAGGTCTTTGGCTGTTTTTTTTTTTCGAAATGGATGGCAGTATTTTTGATAAACAGCCATTATCAAAAAAAAACGATTATGATAACAAACGGATTGCAGTCGCATAATTTTTTTTTCTCATTTTTTTTTGCATGCTCATCATGTTGATGATAACGTTGTTTTGATCATCAGATCGTCTCAATGTTTTTCGTCAGCTTTGTGATGTGTGATGTGGATCTTGATTGATCTGAAATCTGGATCGATATTTTCGAGAATTCTTTTCTTTTTTTTTGTTGAAATCTTCTTGAAGATATGATTTGATTTCATTAAAGAAATAAAAATTCATAAAAAAGTAAACAATGAAACCAATCGATCTGTATGTGGCACCACCATCACCAACATCGAGGGCCGTAATTATTGCCGCTCGTTATATGCATATTAATGTCAAATTAATCATTATCGATCTGATGAAAGGTGAACAAAAAGAAGATTGGTTTGTTAAAATGAATCCACAACATTGTTTACCTACCATCAATGATAATGGTTTTATTCTCTGGGAAAGGTAAGATTTTCAATATGTTATGATCAAAACAAATACCAAAAAACAGAAAAAAAATCTAAATTCGATTCCATTTACACCCATCAAACAAACAAACAAAAAAACTTTTCATTTAGCCGTGCTATTATGACGTATATGGCAAATAAATATGCACCAAATAATCCAATATATCCTATGGATCCAAAACAACGTGGCCGCGTCGATTGTTTACTACAATATGATCTAAATGTATTGAATCGTGCAATCACTGATCTAATGATACCATTACGACGATCTAATAAAATGAATCAAAAAAATAATCAACGACAATCATCAACAAAATTTTTGAATACAATCAAAGAACGTAAAGTTAATGAAGCACTTGAATATCTAGAATCAATATTGATCAACAATCATTATCTAATTGATAATCATTTAACATTGGCCGATTTTTCTGTTTATTGTAGTTTAGAATTTGCTGAAAAATATCATTATAATTTATCACGTTATCAGAATTTGCATCAATATTTTGAACGATTGAAACAAATACTTTGTGGATTATTGTATTTTCCTAATGACAATATTGGCAATTTAGATACAAGATGGATTCAATTGAATAATGATAATAATCATAATAATAATAACAATGATGGTAATAATGACCATCATCATCGATATGAACATCAACAACAACAACAACCATTATCATCGAATAATAATTATCTTCTCTATGATGATAATCGTAATAATCAATTAACATTCGAATCGACGACAGCGACATCAACAGCGAATTTCGATTTCAATCTAAACAGTAATAATAATAATAATAACAATAATAATGGCCATAATTAAAAGATTTTGATATTAATTTGTTTTTAATCAATCAATCAACCAACTGTGTATATTGATTATTCCATTTGTTTACATGAATTATTGTTATATATCAAAAATCTTCAATGTTTGTTTGTTTGTTTGTTTGTTTTACCAGTAGGAACATAAATAACAACAACAAAAAAATTGAAACAAACACTATCTAATGATGAAAACGAAATAAATTTAAATGAGAACCAAATAAATTTTCTGTGAATGGTGATTTCAACAAATTATCTAGATAATCTTCACTGTTGTTTGTTTGTAATTGAATAAGAAAATCTCGATCATAACGGATAATTGCTTCCGATTGTGGGCTATTATCACCAGATTGATCGGTGATAATCTGTTTATCTTTGGCAATCATCATATAATCTTCGAAACCAAATTGATGGAGAAAATGATCGATTTTTATGCCAACTTCTTTATCCGATACGATAATGGTTACAGGTTTTTGGTCATTTTTCGGTAGAATATGAAACTTGTATCCATTATTATCAATGTCATCAAAGTTTTTAGCATCATCACTACCAATGGCCATCGTGGGGATCGATTGTTCATTTATTGTTTCAAGAGCTAATCACCGTCATCATCATAAAATATAAAAATGAAATTTAAATAATCAAATGATCAAATGAAATTGAACATACTGTTATTGGTAACCATTAAATTATCAGCACTATCAGTTGCCAATGGTATAACTGGTTCAATCGATTTTTTCTGATCTGATTCAATTGGCATTGATCCATTACATTCAGCTATTGGAATTTCATCATTCATCTTGATATCTGAATTATTGATTTTCATTTCATCATTGATTTTGTCCAGAATGCCATTGATTTTGTTGACATTATTTTCATCAACGATGGAATTTTTCGAATCATCATTTTCACTAATGATTGCATCATTGCCATCACAAGTTCGAATGTTTGATGAACGATTTACAATGTAAAATTGTGATTGAGATAAATAGGATTTTATATGACCAATCCATGTTGAATTATCGATAGTTGCCATAATCAAATGAAAGACGATTGAATTCAAAAATTCAACGAGCATCAATTATCAGCAAAATGAAAGAAACTCGTCCAATTTGTCGACTAATTCAAACGTCACTCACACACATCACACGTTCAATGAAGATGATGATTCAACAAATTCGTAAGAAGCTTGCTCATTTTGTACTTTATCCACTATTTTTACAATAATGAACTTTCAAAGTGTGAATAGACGAAAGACACTTATTCTTTGTTTTTGTTTTTGAACCAAAAAAAAAAACTCAAATGTTTTATTTTCTCAGAGATCAATCGATTTCTCATGATCATGACTATTATCATTAATGTTATCGTTGATAATAACTAGTGAACCATTACTATGATGTCGTGGACTTTTAAATCGTTGTTTTAATTTACATTTCATCAATGATGATTGTGATGAATTTGTCTTTGATGACCACAATGATGATGTTGATTGTCTCAATTTTGATAATGAAATTATCGATGATGATTGTAATAGATTCGATGATGATTGTGTTGCCACAAATTTTGAATGAATTTCAATTTCTTTCCTCAATGATTGCATGCTAATGCCACGTAATTTACTTTGTGTACGTTTGACAATGATTTCATCAAATTTTGATGGTGATGGTGAACGAATTCTTTCCACACTTGATCGTTGTCGTCGTAACCACATTGTATGCCTTGATTCATCATTATTATTCGTCGGACTAGAAATCGAATCATTTGTTGATGCATCGATTACATGTTGTTCATCTAATGGAAATGACAATGGTTTAATCTGAAATTTCCAGCTCTTAATCGGTATAATATCATTGGAACAACCGACAAGTAATGAAATCAGATAATGATGTTGGTGTTCGATGATTATTATTATCGGATTTGATTTGTTCATCACTATCATTATTATTATTGTTCATTGCTGATTGATTACTATCAGTATTATTATTTGATTTTAATTCTTCAGACATCAAACCGTTACATATAATCGGTTTATAGTATTTCACTTAATTTATCAAGAAAAATTACAAATTCTTTCAATTTATTTAGTATAATTTAATTTGAAAATTCTATAATCAATCAATCAATCGAAAAAAACTTTGATCAAATTAAATTCTGTCAATGGTCACCAGATGGCACTATTCGCAATGATGATGATGATGATGATGATACCAAGGTAAATTGAAAAGAATCAGAATAATTTCATTTCAATTAGTTAGTATATTTATTTATTTATTTATTTACAAATGATAAGAATTTAGGAATCTATTTTCATGTTTTTTTTAAATTATTTTTTTTTTTGAATCATTTAGGATGATCGTGCACGATCCGTATATGATGGCCGATGATGATGTTTACCGAATAATGATGTACCGGATCTACGGCTATAACTTTTACGCATTAGACCACCCATTGATTTTAATGTTGATGTTGAACGGTTACTACCGGATGCATAGACAGTACCACCACCACCACCATTTCTTGATGATGAATTATCCATCATAAGTGCATTTGCACTTGCTGGTCCATATGCACCTTCACTACCACCATCGCTACCACCACCGTTACCGCCAGCACCAGCACCACCACCACCGGAAGAACGACCTTCAGATCGAGCAACAACCGTACGAACTTCTTCAAGAACAGGTCGAATTTCCTGTAAAACACGACGATATGGCTGAATAATTTCCCGTATTTCCTGTCATATTAAAAATAAAGTTACATTGATTGAATTGATTAAATGAATTTTCATTTAATTAATTAATTACCTGTATTACTGGTCGCATAACTTGATGTTGTACGGTATGTGGTTCATCTTCCGACCGTGTTGGCTCTACATGAATTGGTTGTGCAGGTGTATGTATCTAATAATGAAAAAAAAATTGGATGATTCAATTTACCGTAACCTTTGAATAATTTGATAATTATTTTACCTGTTGTACCATAACCGGACTAGATGATGAACGGAACACTACCTGTACTGGTTGTATACTGGCTTCAACATCAACAATATGTGGTTCAACAGGATCAGATTGAAACAATATTGGTTTCACTTCAACCGTACGTTTAGTTTGTACTGCAGCCGATACCTGTGCTGGTCCTGATTGTTGATAACTTGGCGATGTTTGCAAATAATCAGGCATTAATAATGAATCTGATTCTAATGGATTTGAAATTGTTGCTGATCCATCAGCACTGTCTACAACATTGAAATTACCATTACCAGTACTAGTATCTGTACCAGTTAACATGGCAACAGCTTCATTCAATGCATTCATATATGGTTTAGCTTGTGTGATGGCCACCATTGTGGCTATAAACAATAAACCCTAATAATCAATAAATTGAAACGAAAAGAAAAAAAAATTGAATAAAGAATCGATTAAACAAGACAAAACAAAAACAAAACAAAAAAAAAATTCACACACGCACTTTGAACATTAACATGTTTTTTTTTTAATTAATGAATTAAAGAATTTCAGAATCTGTAGTTTCCACACATACACACACACAAAATGATGACAACACACTGGATACGAAAGTTCACAAATCAATCAATCAAATTCAATCAATTTTTTTCGCGAAAAAAAAATGAAACGAATTGAAAACATACAACTGCTTTTTATATATGATGATCGGACACTCAATGTGTCCGTTTGTGTGTGTGTGTGTGTGTGTGATACATTTTCTTCTTTATAAAAAAAAAACATGAAATTTGAAGAGTCACAAAAAAAAGTGGAGAGGAAGAAAAAAAAGATGAAAAAAAATGTCAAGATCTCCCAACAAGATGATCTTCTATCATCATCCATACACTAAATTCAGCCAAACATCTTGAAATTGATGAAATGACGATGAAAGCGTTCAATTTGTCCACTTGTTCACACAATAATTGAATTTTTTTTTTTACTTTTTCGGCCACAGGTTATAGGTTAATAATGATAATTTTTCATTCATTTCATTTCACACACACACATACACACACAGGTGACCGACATCACAAAAAAAAACGTAGCGGTCTTGTTTGTTGAATCCAAAAAAAAAAAAAAAAATTTTTCGTTTTCCATTTCAAATTTCAATTTACAGCTAAATCAAAAAAAATGAAATGAAATGAAATGAAACATTTAAAAAACATTTTTCTTTCTCCTTGAAGAGTTTAGTGCCGAGATAATCGAAAAAAAACAGGGTGATAGAGAGAGAGAAAAGTTTTTCGGAAATCTAGATAAACAAGAGAAAATGAAAATTTTTTTCCAGAAATTTTTTTTTTTTACACAGTCTCTGAAAATGTGTGTATTTTTCTCCCAGTATGAATATAACGCTAATCTATCCACAGTAGCTACAAAAAAAACTGAACGATCCATATCATCATCATCATCATCGTTTTGGTGTGAAAGTGAAAATCGATAATCTTGAAGCAAAAAAAGTCAAAAAAAAAAAAAATCCGTTGGTCTCGCGGTCACTGTCCGAGATATCATCATCATCGTCATCACGATATATATAAATTATTAATACACACACTAACCACACTAACCAGAGAGAAAAAAAAATCCACCAGAAGCTTCGTTGATAATTGCAATATGCAGAATAAAAAAAAAATTCAAGTCAAACTCAATTTGTTTCAAACCAGTCGGTTTGAAATGAAATTATTTTTGGTGCTCCATTTTTTTTTCGGCGCTTTTCATTCTAAAATCTAATTAGAAAATGAACAATTATCGATTGAAATGCAAAATATCAAAATACAGCCACCAAATATATCACACAGTGATTTTTTTTGGTTATTGGTTGGTTTAATGTCAATGAATTTAGCCATTTAGTTTTTCTCTGTACATTTCTATGGGCCAAATTTTTTTTTATATATTGGATATAAAATTCACATTTAACCCGTTAATCTTTATATGTGATCTGTGTGTTGAACTTTTTTTTCTGATTTTTTCAAAAGAAAAAAAATTTTTTATAATCATCACCATGCGAATGTCATGAAATCAAGTTTTTTCTTCTCACTGATGATGGTCACACACACACACACACAAACGCACATGATGGTAATGATCAGGTGAAGTGAAAGTTTTTTTGACTTTCGAACAGATTTTTCATGTCCGATTTTTCGATCCAAATTGATTAATGATTTGGGATCAAAAAAAAAAGAAAAATAAAAAAAAAAATTATCCAAACTCAATTCAATTCGATATGCAACGAAAAATTGTTTCTCGGGAAATTTCCACTACATATAGTCTGATCTGATCTGATCTGATCTGATTGATTGGATTGGATTTTTTCGGGTAGACGAAATAAAATTTACTGGCTGATTGTTTTCAAACAACTACATTTATCTTGAATTGAAATGCTTCAAAGTGGATGGAATGATTTTTTATTGCATAATAAATAATAATTTGATGATGAAGAAAGTATTTTTTTTTCTTGTGCGTGTGTTCAATGATCAGATATCGATCCAATTTTTTTTTTGAACAAAATTTTTAACAGCAGCAGCAGCAACAACAACAACAACAACAACAATTCAGATATAATGGCAGTGGCCATTTAATAACAAGTGTGTAATATGTATGTGTTTTTTTTTTATTTTTTTTTCGGTCACCGAACTTTCAAACTTTGTTTACTAATTCACAAATGGAATGAACAACAACAACAACAAAAATTTATTGAAAAACAATAAACAGTCACATTAAATGTGTGTGTGTGTGGAAAGAGGCAGTTGGCCAACGGGGGTGAAAAAATTAATGATAAAAAGATAAAAAAAATGATGATGAATAAGTAGCCGCCAGTAGAACAAAAATGGATTAGATTCAATTTTGTTGTTTATTCATTCATTCATTTATATTGGGTTCTAATCATCATCAACGACACTCACACACACACAAACACACATTAAATGTAACTCATAAGTGCACAAACAAAAAAAAAATCAAAAATCGTCAATTTCATCGTTGTCTAATTGGATCATCGGCCCACGACACACACCAATCATCATCAAAATGAAAATGAAATTTTTCATCATCATCATCAGCATAATTTCAATAAACAAGTGTGTGTGTGTGTTTTGTTTTGTTTTGTTTCAAACAATAATGAAAATGAAAATGAATCAAAATTGCTGATGTGATTATTTAATTTCAATGAAAATTTTAAAATCATCATCATCATCATATCTAAAAAGTGGACAACGGTCAACAACTTCCGTTTTCAACTTTCGTCGTTGTTGTTGTTGGATATTCAAATTTAATCAATTTTTGAATTTGAATCGATTATTATTATTCATTATTGTTTATGAGTGTGTGTGTGTATGAGCGTGCTTTGTCTATTTTACTTTTGGGAAATTTTAATGGGCCCACGTTTTTTTTTCGTATCAAGTGGTAAAAAAAAAAAATTGGTTTCTGAGTTGCTCCAATTTTTTTTCTCTTTCTCTCATCTGGAGCCTATAGGCAACATCGTGGCTATATTCAACATTTGTATACAATCCAGTGGAGTTCAATCAATTCAAATCATCATAAATGATCATGTTATATTTTTGTTTGTTGTTGTTGTTGTTTTTGATAAATTTATCTCAAATTTCTATCAGTCGGTCGGTCGGTCGGTCAGTTAGTCACTCAGTCAGTCAGTCAGTCAGTCGGTTTAATGTTTTTTTCTTCTTCTTTAGCCTTTAGTTATGAAAAAAATTACCCATAGCAAACAAGAGAGAGAGAGATGGTCATCATCAATGATGATTTGTGTGTGTGTGTGTGTGTGTGTACCGACGAAAATGAAGTTAAAAATTTGTTTCGATTTCAAATTTAAAATTCAAAAAATTTCAAAAAAAAACAAAAGTAACAGCAAAAAAAAACAAATCTAAATTTGTCTTTACCAAGAAATTTAAATGTTTTTATATTAAAATGAGATGACCAGTAAATTAATGTTTGTTTTGGACACATAAAAATATATAATCTGATAATCGGTTAATGAGAACACGCGTACTGATGAATCTGCCTGTGTGTGTGTGTGTGTGTGCAACACGTGATTGAATTTTTCCTGTTTATTTTTTGAAAATATGCAAACTGGAAATGGAAAATTTCCTTTTTTTTTTTTTTGATATTTTTTTAATTAAGTGTCACTGCATATTATAAAAAACTTTTACATTTCATCGTTTCATTTAATACAAACGGTAAAGCAAATGATGCCCATCCCGCCATCTAGTGTTTGAGATTGTAACCAGGAAAAAAAATCCACCTGTTGAAAATATTTTTAAATGAAAAACAAAAAAAAAAAAAAAAATTCAAATGAAAATTTGAATATGCAAATTTGAAAATTTAAATTTATTTTTTGGTGAATAAAAGAAAAAAAAATTTCTGATTTTATAATCTGATTATTGTATTCATTCTCTCTCTCTCTCTCTCCATATACAAGAGAAAATCTAAAAAAAAATGGCAAGCAAACTGACTAATTGAACTAGTTTTAATTCATTAGAGTTCATCGGATCATCATTATTATTACAATATAAACGAAATCAACATCATCAAGATTAAAATGATGATTTGGATGATTATCATCATCATCATTTGAATCTGGATCGTTTCCATATTTATATTTACAAAACAGCAGACAGTTTTTTTTCTCTCGTCTTATTATAATTCAATTCATTTTTTTTTTTTTTGCTTTGCTTTTTTTTTTTTTTTTGGTTAAATATACAAATACGGTCAAAAAAAAAAAAATCGAACCATTATAATCGATCTTATTCGATCCATAATTTACCCTTTCAGTGCGTAGGTGTATTTGTCGACTCTTTCGGATTCATTTTTGTTAATACCCCAAATATTTCAAATGGAAATGAATTTTTTTTTTCTTCATTTCAATATAATACAATTTTCATTTGTGTTTCTAATTACGGCCATTGAAATGGTATTATTTCTGTTTTTGTTTTGTTTTGTTTTAAATTTAAAATCCAGATTTAACGGAATGAAATGATTTCTCTCCATCTCTTTTTGGCTTCCGTCCAGTGATTATCATCATCAGTATTTTTAATCGTTTCGCTGTTAAAAAAAAAGAGACAAACACACACACACAAGAAAAAAAAATGGTAAACCACAACACAACAGAAAACGAAGAACCATCTTTATTGTTTTATTTTTTTTTGTTTCTTTCTAAATTTCTAGTATGCATGTGTGTGTGTGTTCATTTTCAGTTAGTTTATACCAAAAAAAAAAAATAATAAAAAAAAATGGTAACAAGAAGAAAAAAAAAATGATGGTAGTAGTAGTCATCAGTTAGTTTGTTTGGTTGATTATTCTTCTTCTTTTCATTTCAGTTAGTAAAAACCAAAAATGGAAAGCAAAAAAAAAAAACAGCAATGAAGTGAAAAAGTCAATGTCCGAATGATGATGACATACACACGAAACAACGACATTATTAGGATGATGATGATGATCATCATCATCATCATAAATAATGGGAAATGTATACAAGTCATATGTGTTTTCTGTATGTAATGTTGTTGTTGTTGTTGTTGTTGTTTTTTGTATGTATCCAAATGGATTGTAAAAAAAGAAAAGAAAAAATCCAAGAAAAAAAATTTGTAAATTACATGCAATCATTACATAATGATGACGATGATTATCTAGTTCTGTATTCATATTTATATAGGTTATATAAAGGTAAGAAGACACACATACACACACACAAACACACAGTGAGATGTGTTAAAAATGATGATGATGTGATGTGATGTTTCGATGGCAAAAATTGATGACGATTATGATGATGATGATGATGATAATGACTGATGAATTATCATCTGTGTGTATGTGTGGTATTCAGCTGAATAAATTATGATTCGTGATTCGTTTCGATATATCGTTTTTTTTTTGTTTTACCCGGAAAATTTTTTTTCCAAGTTATTATGAAGAATGAAGAAAGCAGACAAACAGACAAACAAACAAACAAATTCCTGGTTCCAGAACATAAATTTTCCACCTTTTTCATTTTTATTTTTTTTTTTTTTTTTTTTTTTTGATTTGAAGCAAGGTTTACATTTTTTTTTTTTTGTTTATTTTATATATATAAAAAAAAATATTCATAATAATATCGATAATATCGATAGTATGGATTTTTTTTTCTTAATATCGATCCCAATATCTTCGTTGAATATAACGTATAGGTTTATTGTTCTGTGGCCGTAATTCAGTCATTGCTGTACCACGATAATTTTTTGAATGATGTTGTTGTTGATGATGATGAGAATGAATATGAGGATGATGTAAATGTTGTTGTCTTGTCAATCTTGATTGTGCATGTTGATGCGAATGTGGATGTTGTTCTGTATCCATATCATCCGATGGTAATGCCATAAATCTAATACGTTGTTCACTATAACTGCCGCTCATATTATCGGGATATCCACCACCGGAACCATGACCAGCACGGCTTGTTGTTTTACCCATACCACCAACACCACCACCACTACCACCGGCTCCACCATGTCTTGGTTCACCTTTTGCAACGATCGTGTGAACATTCTCAATAACAGGACGAACTTCCTGTACAACACGACGATATGGTTGTATGATTTCATGTACCTCTTGAATAACTGGACGTATTACTTCATGTTTAATACGATGTGCTTCTTCCTGTGAACGAACAAATTCCACTTCCGGTGCTGGTAATGTTTGATGTTGTTGTTTAATTTTTACTGGCATCGATTGTGTACGAAACACAATGGAATATGGTTGTTTAGCATACATTGATTCAAATTCCAATTTGCCATTCTTATCAGGATATGTAAACATACTTCCTTGTGGGATTTGCGTTATTTTCGATATACCTTCCTGATTCTGATACATTCCATAACCAGCGGCCGCCGATTGTGATGATTGTTCATCATAATTTGATGCCGATGTTTGTGTATCATCATTGTGTGGCAATAATTGTGCTTGATTTGCTAAACGATTATAAATTTCATTCAAACGATTCTGTTCATTTGTTGTCAATAATGATGACGATTGTTGTTGTTGTTGTTGTTGTTGTTGTTGTGGTTCAGCTGAACTAATTGAATCAATTATCATTGATGATGATTGCTGCTGTTGTTGTTGTTGGTGTTGGTGTTGATGATCAATTTGTTGTGATGATTGATCATTGCTTAATGCTTGCAATGGTTCATTATTATTATTATGATTATTATGATTATTCATATGATCATCGATTGTTGTTTCATATTTTTGTTCAATTTGTTCAATAGCCGAATCTGTTAAAAAATATGCCTGACTATTGATTATTAATGATGATGATATTATTATGTAGCTTATTAATGCTACAATGGATATGGTCAGATGTTGTTGTCGATTCTGTATTTACAACAAGAGATAATGAGAGAAAAAAAGAATAGAAAAGAATAGAAAAGAATCCATTTGAATCATTCATTCATTCATTCATTCATTTTTCTTCGATTAAATGTGCAACACTTACATTTTTTATGAATTTCATTTTCATGAATTTTTGATATATTTAAATTAATTAATAATGAAAAAATGTTGATGATGATGATGATGATGATAATTTTCAAAAAATCACTTGTTGATTGGCACACACATTGGTGAACAAGAAAAAAAAATCACTAAAATCAAACACAGATATATTCATTCAAAAAAAAAAATTTCTGAATGAAAATCAATCAATCAATCAATCAGTAAGTCAGTCAGTCAGTCAGTTAGTCGATAGGTCAAAATCCCATATACATGATCATCATAATCATTATGATCATTATTACACACACACGATGAGAATCAAATGAAAATGAAAATGAAAAACACACTGATGATGATGAAAAATGAAAAATGAAATGAAATGAAACAACAACAACAACCACCAGTTGCACAGTGATTCACTCTGTGTTTTTGATGATGATGATGATGATGATGAGAATGAAAAGGTTCGGAAAGATTCAAAGATTTAAAAAAAAATTTTTCCACTTCTATTTATATGTTCGTTTTCTTCATCCATCCATTCATTCATTCCCACTAAACATTGATTATTTCGAATGGTCTTTTTTTTTTTGTTCTTTATTTTATTTTCTTCACCACAATACACACTACTACCGAGTTTGATGATGATGATGATGATGATGATATTCATAGAAAAAAAATGGTTCATCATCATCATCATCATGATCATGATGATCATCTTGGTAAGAAGAGAAGCTTGCTTGGCAAGCTTTGGCCTAAGTAAGTCAAGGAGAGAGAGAGAGAGAGAGAGAAAAAATTGATAGAGAACTGAAAGAGAGTGAGGTGAGAGAAACCGGCGGTCAACGCAAAAAAATGATGATGAGAACATCGTGGATTTTTTTTGGAAATTTTTTTAAATTGGAAAATTTTTTTTTTCATTTTATTCAAAACAAAAACCGACGATAGTGAGAGTCATTGGATCGGGTGTAAATAGCCTGGTTGACCCAGGTAAATTTTTTTTTTTTTTTATTATAAAAAACTTGAAATATGAATTTTTTTTTATTTCTTTCTTCTCATATGTTAACCGCGATGATGATGATGATGATGATGATGGGAATAAAAAAAAAAACTCGGTCAACCAACTGACCAACATTCATTTTTGCTTTTTAAAATTAAGTTTTAGAGCCATCATCATCATACAGATGTCATAAAATGACAGCGAGCAAGGAATTTAAACTTTTTGATGACCAACCAACCAAACAACCGACCAACAGTGTACAACAAAAACAACAACAATCGTCCAAGATCATCATCATCATCATCATAATGGGAATTTAAATTCAAAACCAAAAAAAAATGATGAACAGCTCGATGATCAAGAATGGATAGGTGAGAGAAATGATGAGGATGAGATATAAAAAAAAATGCGAGATGAGATGTGTGATGCAGTGAGTCAAAGGTCAAAGTTCCTCAATCTGATTTTTTTTTTTTTTTGAAATTTTTCATTTTTTTAAAAATTAAAATTCCAAATGGTTCCTAAATGCAAAGTCCCGAGGATATGAAATGAGTTGAATGACACATACACGCGCGCACACACACACACACATGTGCTTATTATGTTTTCAGGTTGTGAAAAAAAAACAAAATGACCACTGCCCAATTATATTTGACAATTATGATGATGATGATGATGATGATCGCAAAAACACCATTTTTTTACAAAAATAAACTAATCATCATCATCATCATCGATCGATCTACCGATCTATCGATCGATGGATGTATTGATAAACTGTTTCAGGCGATTATCGAAAGGATGATTTTTTACTTCTTGTCGTTGTTTTTGTTTTTGGATCAAAATGAAAAAAAATCTATAATAAAAATAAATAAAAAAGACGAGATGGTATGTAATGTGAACATGGTTGGAAAAAAATAACTAGGCTAACGAAAGTTTTTTTTCGGTTTTTTTGGCATAGTAAAAAAAAAAAAATAAAATAAGCCCAAAAGGCATCTCATTTTCATTTTCATTTTCATTTAATTTCATTGAATTGAACATGTCGATTCCATTTTTTTTGCAGAGACAGAGAGACAAAAAAAAATATGTAGAAAACACCAAAGGGTTAAAATTGATTCATTGATATTTGGACATATTTGAATATACAAAACAAAAAAAAAAAAACATAAATCACGATGGATTTATGAAAATTTTTTTTTTCTTTCTTTCTTTCTTTCTTTCTGTATGGTTCTAAATGCCAAATTTATGGCTATTCAATCAAATGGAATGGAGAAAGAGAAAAAAAAGACGAACATAGACACACACACACACACAGCCAAACCTTCATCGTTGGATAATTTTTGGCTGATGATGATGCTAAATCGGGATTTTTTTTTTTTGGTTTCACTTGTGTCTGTATTTCCATTCGTTCATTGTTGATGGTGATGATAAAGAAACGGGCCATATAGAAATTGAATATAATGAAATGATGGAAGAAAAATGAAAAAATCTTGAAATGCCGATGATGATGATGATGATGATGATGATGAAGAATGTCAATGGTAAATCAACAACAATCGGTATTGTTGTTGTTGTTGTTGCTGCTGCTGTTGTTGTTTTGTTCAACAGTTGGTCAGCTTTGTTGGCTGATCGACCGGCTACTGCCGGAGTCATTAAAAAAAATGTTATTGATGATTGGCTATCGTTTTTTTTTTCGTTTTTCACCACAACAAAAATAGTAACCAATGAACCAGAAAAAAAATGAATATAATAAACCATTTGGAGGTTATCACCAATCAATATTGATTGATCCATTTATTTGATTGTATTATATACCAGATAATAATAATAATAATAATATGGTACAATTTAACCAAATTTATTAAAAAAAATGACCACAAATGGTCAGCAATATTGGTCAAATAAAAAAAAAAAAATTACAATTTTTTTCGTCATTCACAAACAAACACAACAACAACAACAACAACAACCACATTTCTGCTTCCTGTCTGGGGTTATATTTTCCTTTCCATTTCGAATAGAAATCATCATTCATTTCATTTCATTCATAACATTTCCTACCGTCATCATCAGAGTTGGAAAAAAAATTAAATTTTTTCCCCAAAAAAAACTATGATGATGATGACCATTTCCTTAATGATTAAAGCTTGACCAAGTCATTTTTTCATTTCATTTTAGCTCAGTTCAGTTTTTTTTTTAATTTCTAATCTGATGATGATGACATATACGGATGTCTCCGAAAATCACGCATACACACACACACACACTGATTACCGGAGGATTTCAAGTGAAACATGGAAAAAAAATGTCTCCATGCCAAAAATGTTCATTTTGTTGTTGTTGTTGTTGTTGTTTTTTTCGGCTCTTTTATCGAGATTGATTTTTTTTATTCACAATCAATCGATTAATTAGAAAAGATGAAATTTTTTTTCTTGAAAAAAAACCTGTGGTGTTTATTTATAGAACCATGATGATCCACCCGCCGCCACCACCACCACCACCATCATCATCATGGAAATTTTTTCTGTTTTTGCACATCATATTTTTTTTTGTTGCCATAAGGCTAATCTAGTTAGCCAGTAGTAATGATAATTGGTCGTCCATCAATATCGGGCAGTTTCTTTTTCCCTAGCCATTAATCGTTTATGAGATCGATAAGAAACCAGAGAAAAAAAAATTTTGTCAAATTTTGTCGAAATTGACTGAAACTTTTTTTCTTCTTCTTCATTTCACATGGATTTTTTTTCTGGACGGAAATTGTTCAATGTTCGGTTATTATTATTATTATGTTAATCGATCCATAATCAACAACAACAACAACAGCAACAGGTCTTTAAACTTGTTTTTTTTTCGTTTTGAAAAAAAGTAAAAAAAAAAATTCAACAAATTTCACTATCGATCACGATGGATATCACGATCAATATTTACGAATATTTACCCGATGCTGATGCTGATGCTGATGCTGATGCTGATGTTGATGATGATGATCTGTCGACTACAACGAAGACGACAACATGTACACGTTTTTTTTCGGCTGGATAAAAAAAAAAAAAAAATTTTCCACCAACCAATCGGTGGAATTAAGTTGAAATTTTTTTTTTTTTTTTTTTTTTTTTTTGAATAAAAAAACAAATCTGTAGATGATGAGATAATTGCGAATTTCCGTTTTTTTTGTTTGTTTTTTTTTTTTGTTGCTGTTTAGATTTGAAAAAATTTTTTCAAGAAAAAAAAATCAGCTGCTTCGTCGTATAATTCGTGTGTGTGTGCGTGTTTGCTGGATGCTGGATGGATGGATGTCGACATACACACGCCCATTGTGTAGTGTAAATTCCAATTTTACTTGAATTTTTTTTTTCATTCCACTAATTGTCATATAAATGGCAAATGGCAAATTGTTCATTTGTCGCGTTTATCATAGTTTTTTGGATCAATTTTTTTTTTTGCTTCCAATACAAACGTTACGAGGTTAATTGCTCGTCGTCATCATCATCATCATTGGGAGTTCATCGTTCACTCTCCAACTAGTAATGGTCGGGTTAATTTTTTTTTCGTTTATTTGAATGTTTTTTTTTCTCCCCGTTTATACTAATCACACTCATCATCATCATTC